CAATTCATCATATATCATTACATTATGTAGAGAATAGGTGGTATACTGCAGATATCATGGTGATTATCAGGTGCAAGAGGAAATAACGAAAGGTTTACTCACAATCAGATATACTAACTAAACCGAGACGCTGTGCACGTGTTATTGTGTTCATTTCCACATACATCAGACCCAGGTGGGGGGGAGATACTTTTTTGAGAGTGTACGTGTACTGATCTAGAGGGTAACGTCCACAACCAATACTTTTAAACCACTATTGTCGCTTCCTTCACACAGGGATGGAAGGCCAACCCCTCTGGCTCGACGTGTATAGACGTGGACGAGTGTACCAGCTATCATCCTCACTGCTCTAAGGACCCGCCAGTACAGTGTGTCAACTACCCTGGAGGATTCGCCTGCGGCCCCTGCCCACAAGGTACTGTATTTGTAGTAGTGGAGGGGTTAGTCAGACAGTCAGTTGTTTATATCCTGTTTTTCGTAGCTATAAAATCACCTCTTTACCTCCTGATTTGATAGTCCTGTTCTTTGGAGCTAAAATATTTGTCAACATGATAGTCACACAATCACCTGTTTACCAGTCAATCACCTGTTTACCAAACAGTCATATCTTTACCACCTGTATTCACGTACACTCGTCACAAAAAGTTCTCTAACAGCCGGTCACGACAGAAATCAGAATGTGTCATCTCAGAATGGTCGGTATGCCTGGTTGCGTAGTGACTCAGTAGTTCGTAATAATATATATCACTCGTCTTTACAGTATTTACAGGTGAAAAGAAGAACTCTAACTTAATTTGCAATAAAACTTCCTCAGAGAACAATGTTCATAACTCCCGTTCGAGAACTTTTTGTGGCGAGTGCACCTGTTCCTGGGAGCTAAAAAAATCAAGTCTCCAAAATCTTATTTCATTTCTTCTGTAGATATTTAAAACCAATTTTTAATGTGAAAAATAAATTAATTGTAAATTTTCTTTGTTTTTCTCTCCTAAACTTATTGTCCTCTTCTGAGCATGTTGTCCTCTTCTGAGCATGTTGTCTTCTTCTGAGCATGTTTTCTTCTGAGCATGTCGTCCTCTTCTGAGCATGTTGTCTTCTTCTGAGCATGTTGTCTTCTTCTGAGCATGTTGTCCTCTTCTGAGTATGTTGTCCTCTTCTGAGTATGTTGTCCTCTTCTGAACATGTTTTTCTTTTGAGCATGTTGTCCTCTTTTGAGCATGTTGTCCTCTTCTGAGCATGTTGTCCTCTTCTGAGCATGTTGTCCCTCTGAGCATGTTGTCCCTCTTCTGAGCATGTTGTCCCTCTTCCTTCTGAGCATGTTGTCTTCTTGAACATGTTTTTCTTTTGAGCATGTTGTCCTCTTTTGAGCATGTTGTCCTCTTCTGAGCATGTTGTCCTCTTCTGAGCATGTTGTCCTCTTCTGAGTATGTTGTCCTCTTCTGAGCATGTTGTCTTCTTCTGAACATGTTTTTCTTTTGAGCATGTTGTCCTCTTTTGAGCATGTTGTCCTCTTCTGAGCATGTTGTCCTCTTCTGAGCATGTTGTCCTCTTCTGAGTATGTTGTCCTCTTCTGAGTATGTTGTCCTCTTCTGAGCATGTTGTCCTCTTCTGAGCATGTTGTCCTCTTCTGAGCGTGTTGTCCTCGTGTTCCCGCAGGTTACAGTGGTGATGGGCACGTGTGTCGTGACGTGGACGAGTGTTTGTTGAACAACGGTGGATGCTCCCCTTACAGTGAATGTTTCAACACCCCGGTAAGTCAAGAGGCATTAAGTGGTACCCAGTTTATGAACTAGGCAAAATGACTGCCCAGTTAGTGAAATGGGTTCCTAACTTAAAGTAGCTTAGGCTAAGTTTATGTTTGGTTAGGTTAGGTTATATTATGCTGGGATGGAGAAGAAAAGAGAATAGGGAATGGTCAAGGAAAATAGGGATTTTTTTTTCTGAACACTGGGTAACTATAGTGTTCTCCTTCCACCCCCATTTTTGCCAAGATATTTTTTGTTCTTATTTACATACATGATCACACATCACATTTCGAAGATTCCCCCGAGCTTCTCTATGGTTAAGAACGAGGTCCTAGAATACAGCAAGAATTCCCTTTCTGGATAGCCATGCTGAGGTGCTGGAAAACACAGTTCAATGATCTCGAGTCTCTGATGGTTTCACCGACCTTGGAATTCAACTGATTCAGGAACTTTACGACCTTGGTACTCAAGGCTCCCAGACTCTGATCATACTGGGATAAAGCGATACTTGTAGCACAGTTTCTATATTGCGTGAGGCTTTCCTTAAAACTTGCTGCCCACCCTGCTTCAGCTACACTGAGGGGTAGATAATAATTAGGCGCTATGTGGAAGCACTAGCTGGCGACTCCGCCAGGATACTTGTCGTGGATCTATTCTCATGCTTGGTGTAATAACAAATAAGGACTCTTTTTAATTAATTTCACTTGCAATTACTTTGTATGTGTACCATTGCAAGTAAAATTACAAATAATTGAGAAAAGTAATTGATTACAATCACAATTACTTTAACTGCTAAACTGCGAAAAATCAACTTCTCTTTTCGACTATTGGCGTCAGAGATACACAGTAAAGACAGATTAGACTTAATAAAATGTACGAGTATATAATTGTTGTGGTCCTGCTTCTTTTTGTAAAATTGTATTTATTTATTTTTTTTACGGGGATTAGCCCACCCGGGCACAGGTCACTGACCCACATCGGGGCCTGGGGGCGAAAATGTAATAATAATGATAATACAGTAATTCATAGTAAATAAAATGTTAATATAAGTAAAATAAAATAATGATAACAATAATAATAATAACAACACTGTAATAATAAAGAAATACAAAAAATTCAATAGTGAGAAACGCTATATGTATATTGTGTTGTCTAAGAGAAACAATTGAGACCCTTCAATTGTGTGTAAATGAGGCAGGAAGACAGATCAGCAACCTGGGACTTAGTCACAATTTTCGTGATGCCATATGGCAGCAGGATCTACCATTAGACAACACATTATGCTTCCAATATCTTCCCAGGCGGTAGTACCTCCCTGTTTGGTAGCTGCCTACTACCTGGTCAATTTGAACGTAATTAATTACAATTTCAAATTATAATTACCCCATACTTACTTTTACACAAGTATGGTATTTTCACCTGTGATATTTTGCATGTCAGTTATAATAAAGACACTTCTACTTCAGTAAGTTTCTCTCCTTCTTCAGGGAGGTCGTCGGTGTGGCTCCTGCGCTGCTGGGTACAGTGGGGATGGGGTCACGTGCCTCCCTGCCCCACGAGCCTGTCAGTACGCACAATGCCACCCCCTCGCTACCTGCGTCGATAACCCCAGTGAGTTGGTAACGTTCATTTGAGTACCTTAGCTCACGTCTTAACATTACCGTCTCCCCTTTCTTCTTTCTCTCTCTCACCACTGATTCTTTTCACCCCCTTCCTCTCACCAATAATTCTTCCTTCTCTCTCTCTATCTCTTATCTATTTTTTCCTTTATTCCTCACCAACTCTTTTTCCCACCTTCCCTCCTTCCTCCTTCCCTCTTCCCTTTCTCGTTCTCTTCAACTTTTTCGCCTCTTTTTGTTTTTAAACTTCCAATTACATTTCCTCTGCTTTCTACGCTCATACCACTCTTGTTGATAAGTATTGAACATGATTGGCAAAAAGAGTCACACCTCAACAATATCAATTAGATCTTGGTCACAAATGTTTACTGTACGGACCTGCGGCGATTTGGTTACTTACTGTACGGTGTAAACATTGAGTCTGTGCTTCGTGGATGTTTACTTTGAGTTGTGTAACGTTATGTTTTCAATAATATTCGTTTTCTGGGTTTTTTTCGCTGTGTTTTGTCCTAAGCGTTCTCCGTGCTCTATTTCCAACAAACACACTTAAAGGGAAAGCTCTGTATGAGTGAACAAGTGTTGGGGGTAACAATAAGACTAGGGCAGGCCATTTGATGCGTTAGTGTTAAGTGTGTGTGTAATAATAATAAAAAAAAATAATAACGATAATTAACGGTTTATTGAAAGAGCATGGCTGCCGGAAGGCTGAAAACATGCAGTTACATAATTGGGGAATGGGTCTCTTGATTTACAAATAATATACAAGTAACATCAGTGATACAAATATGATATATAATAACTAGGTGGGAAGAAGGTTATGCGACAGGGCATTTCAACATAGTAACAGTGCAAATAGGTAAGATTGGCTGGGAGTGAATACACTGATTGATTACGAGTTGTTGATAGTTTTTATAATGGTTGGGACTGGGCTGAATGCGGTTGTGGTGTCGATCAGCAATTCGCGGACGAGAGATTTCGGGTGGAAGTAGGAGCCAAATTTGCAGATGAGGTCGTGGTGATGATCAGAGAGAGCCGAAAGAGTCGGTATGTTGAGTGCTTCTTCATATGTGGAGTCAGAGGAGGAGAGAATAATCTTGCATGCCCTCTTTTGCACTTTTTCAGGTGTTTACGTTATGTTGCATTTAGGGAGGAAGACCATGTAGGGGAGGCATAGGTGAGCTTGGGAAGCATGAATGTTGAGTAAACACTGAGGAGTTCGGGAACTTGAACTCCGAGGGACTTGAGTCGGCGGAGGAAGGAGGTGGAGAAGATAACTTGAGGATTTGAAAACTGTATTGACGTGTGTTTTCCAACTGAGTTTGTTATCTATAGTGAAACCGAGGAGTTTAGTAGAGTCCACAACCTAGAGTGTGTTTGAACCTAAAGTAATGGAGGGAGGAGAGATTGATGTGCATAACCATCGTCTTGGTTTGGTTGATGGTGACATGGTTGTTGGTGGCCCAATTTTGGACACTGTTCAGTATATCCTGGAGGGCGGTGTAGTCGGGAGCCGAGTTGTTGACACTGATCCCAATGGTGGAGTCGTCGACATATTTCCAGCGAGCAGAGATTTCTCTAAGGGCATCATTGATAATTATCAATGGGACCGCTCTACTTCCTTAGCTTATAAGCTAAGGAAGTACAGCGGTCCCATCTTGGTGCCCTGGGGGACGCCACAGGTGTCTGTGTGTGTCTGTGTATTTTATGGTATACTTTGGGTCCCTTTGATAATAATAGTCTACTTCATCGACATTATTCAGAAGTTAAACCTCAATACTCAGTGTAACAGTAAATAATATATCAAAATCGTTTGATACTTTAAAAATTGGATAAGATATAATAGTAATAATTTTATGTATATTTCAAATAGTCTAATTAATTTAAATCACTGAGAAGTTAAACTCTTTAAATTATAATTAGTCTAAGAGTCATTATACAGAAATTATATCAATCTCGTTTTATGCATAGATATTTAAATATAATATAGTAGCAAACAATTGACAATAATTTCTACCTTTACATTTTATTTTAATGTGGTTATACTCCGGCAGGTATGTCGCCGACATACTACCAGTGTATATGCCCCTCTGGGTACGAAGGTACTGGCATCGGGCTCCACGGATGTCTGCTCACGAGTGGAGGAGGAGGAGGAGGAGGAGGAGGAGGCGGAAGAGGAGGCGGAGGCCAGTTGCAACCCACCAATTGGTGCGCCACCCAACCTTGTGTCAACGGCGGCTCCTGTATCCAGTCCGCCTCCAATTACAGCTGTATCTGTGTGCCTTGGTATTCAGGTAAGCTTACACATGCACCTGATTGTGTCTATATAGATATACAAGTAAGACATCAGTAATACATATTATATAATAAAACTTAAAAGAACATTAATATTTCCTATACTGTATTTCTCATGATCCGCTTTGTCTTTCTCAGTACTGTACATATTAACCCGATGTGTAAAGAATATTGAAATTACAGAAAATTTACCCAAAATGTGCTATAATTTGTCTTGAGCTGCGAGCGTTCTAGGTGCGTGCTGAGAAGCTGCTGGAAGGGTGCTGGAAGACTGTTGGGATGGTTGTGAAAGAGTGCTGGGATGGTGCTAAGAGCATATCATCTTCCTAAATACTAGTAGTCTCAACTTATCTTCCTCAAAACCAGGACGCAATTGTGAATTGAACCTCGACGAGTGTGCCAGCAACCCCTGTATGAACGGTGGCACCTGTTCCCAAGGCATCAACACTTTCACTTGCAATTGTCCTTCCTCCCACACCGGTGATCGCTGCCAGACTGAGAATGAACGTGAGAACCAAGAGTCTGACAGTCTATCTTAAGTCAAAATGTTTATATACTTATTCAGGCTTACCATTTTTTTTTTCATTCAGGTTTGGAAAACTTAATCTGCCTTGAAAAATTATTCTCTTGTGTAATTTATTCAGATATGGAAAATAAATCAGATTCGGAAAAATTAATTAAATTTAATTGTTTTTTCTGATTTAAATAAAGAAATATTCACATCCAGCTTCGGAAAGTTTATTATATTTATTCACAAATTTCATTGGACAGAAAAGTAATTTACAATTGGATCTAGAAACTTTATTCAAATCTCTCTCTCTCTCTCTCTCTCTCTCTCTCTCTCTCTGTATTGATATACCAAATACCTCCATCTTCCTCCTCCTCCTATAACAGAGTGTGGAGGTGTCTTGAGAGGGACGGAGGGCGTGGTGACCTACCCTGGAGTGGAGGGCCAGCTCTACAACCATAACATCAGCTGTGCCTGGATCATCAGAGTGCCACGGGGAAAAGTCATTAATGTTACCTTCCAACATTTCCATATGGAAGGTGGTCGATGTAATTTTGACTGGCTCCAGGTGAGTGGTTCGGGTGGTCTTCAGGTGTGTGGTTGGTTATTTAATGCCTCCAAGTGTGTGGCTGGGGGCTAGAGTGCTTCCAGGTGTAGATTTGAGTGCCTCCAGGTGAATGGTAGGTGCTTTAGTGCCTTCATTGGAGTGAGGGTATGAGTGCAAACCAGGTGAGTTCCTTGTTCGAGTCTTTAAGCACCAACTCCCTTCATACTTACAATTAATGAAACAACCTGATTTGTAATTATATTTTGACTGGAGGTGACGTTCAGGACATTTATACACTCTACACTAACCATAGACTCGACCTTAGATCATCAGATTTGGCCATCATCAGATAAGACCCTTGAAAAAATCATATCAGTTGACGAGACCCTGAAAACTATCCTATTTATAAGCAAATATTCTCACTGAATTCGTCCCTCTTCATCCAATCAGATTCACGATGGATTACAAATGTCCTCTCAATTGATTGGAAGATTCTGTGGTACTAGTCTCCCAGGAAACAATGGCTCTATCATTAGCACCCATAACTTCCTGTATCTTTGGTTCCATTCCGATCATTCCGTCGCGGGCTTTGGCTTCAACTTTACCTGGAACACCACAGATCCAGGTGAGTTTTTCCCTGCCACACCTGTGCTCATTAGGACCTACATGTTGATATTTTTGTTTTGTTTTATGAACGATTCTGATGAATGATGAATTTTATTATTTTTATTTATTATTATTATTATTATTATTATTATTATTATTATTATTATTATTATTATTATTATTATTATTATTATTATTATTATTATTATTATTATTATTATTATTATTATTATTATTATTATTATTATTATTATTATTATTATTATTATTATTATTATTATTATTATTATTATTATTATTATTATTATTATTATTATTATTATTATTATTATTATTATTATTATTATTATTATTATTATTATTATTATTATTATTATTAATGTAATCAGTGTCATCATTGTTGATATTATAACGACTACTAATATTATCATTCCTAAGAATATTATCATATCTTCTCTCAGTGTGTGGAGAGGACTTCCATGGCCAAGAGTATGGCTCCTTCAACTCCCCCGGGTACCCTGGTAGGTACCCGATAAACCGTGACTGCTACTGGACGGTAACGGTGCAGCCGGGCAAGAGGATCAAATTCCATTTCGCCACACTGCAGATTGAGGTCCATCCGAACTGTAGCTTCGACTTCCTGGAGGTAAGCTCTCTCTCTCTCTCTCTCATCTCTAACCTTGACTAACTCCTTCTATCAGTTAAATTTCCCTCCCTACCTACCCCCCCTCCTTCCCTCCCTTGGTTCCTCCCTCTCTTTCTCTCTAAGTATCTCTCTCTCTCTCTCTCTCTCTCTCTCTCTCTCTACGTAACTGCCTTCTTTCCTCCTCCCTTAACTCTCATCTTAACCCTCTCCCTCCCTCCTCTTCACTATTTTTCTCTCATTTCCTCCTTCCTTCTCCTCTTTCCTAATTCCCTCCCTCCGATGGTAATTCTTTCTCCTTCTCTCCCTCCATACCTCTCTCCCTTCTTCCTTTCCTCCCTCCCCCTTTCCTTTCTAGAATTGTACTTGATTTTTTTTTTAACTAATGCCTCTTCCCTTGCTCCTTACACCCACCAGATACGCGATGGGTTGACCGAGACTGGTCAAAGCCTGGGCAAGTTCTGTACCACTCAAGCTCCACCACCCGTCACCACTTCCGGCTCGGAGGCCTTCCTTCACTTCCACTCAGACGTGTCAATAAGTGATACGGGTTTCCACATCTCTTACAGCGCTGAGCCTGGTAGGGACCGTGTGTGTGTGCGTGTTTCGTCGAGAAGAACTAATTACATTGATTAATCATTTTCCTTTCCTGATCTTACTGCTGGATGTTATTTTTCTTGCATGAGGGGTATTTCTTTTTATCTTAGTGTGCCTCAGCTCCGGCATTGATCAGTTCTTGGCCGCCCTCGTTGCTTTACATTCGTACTTTAAAACAACGTGTATTGTATTAATGAATGACAATGTTTAATGTTACACAATGATTTAATTTTGTAATATTTCTTACCTGTACCCGTAAGTTCACCTGTAATCTGTGTTCACATGTATAGTACCTGTACAGTACCTCTAGCTGTTCTTTCCTAATTAATGACACGATTGAATGATGCTTGTACACCTCTAATTTCAAGATATGTCTATTAATTTGTGTAGTGCTACCTGTATCCTTATAATTGTTTTGTAATTAAAAAGTGAGTGAATGGTAGTACTCATGTTCTGCTTTCTTTCTTGACTATACCTGTACTGTACATACATATACCTCTATGGACTGTATACAGCTGTCTATTTTTAAGGCAGATAAGGATATTGCCTTATGCTCTTGTTCTGAAATATTTATATCTGGTTTTCTACGAGTGAATGTGAATTTAAAGTACACGATCCAAAAATTTTCTTTACAATTTTGTGTTAGACAATTATAATGGCTGAAGGAATTTGACAACCCTACCGAGACAGGAAATGTTGAAGTGACTATTTTGAAATTCATTGGAGACTTCAGTAAATATACTTTTTGGAGTGTGTGTGTGTGTACTTTTCTCTTTATATTGTTCTGTATTTCTGTAATACCTGCTCCTGTAACTGTATTTGCACTTTTACCTTATACCTTACCTTCTTATGTACTGTATCTGCATCTACACTTGTTCCAAATTTCATCTTGTACACTACAACTGTATCTGTAGCCTTCTCTGTAACTTCACTTGTGTCTATATTTGTATTTATACCTGTAACCTAACCTGAACTTGTACCCTTACCTGGAACCTCACCTGTACTCCGAGGGCCTACAACTAGCCAAGTCAATTAATCGAATAATTTTAATTGCCTCCCATCAGGTACACCAGGGTGTGGGGGACTGCTGACCAATGACGTAGGTGAGTTCTCTGCCCCGACACTCTCAGATACCTACGAGCATAATCAACACTGTGAATGGCTAATACGGGTACCTGCTGGCGAGACCATCCAACTCAACATTAGCGAGCTACACGTGGAGCATCACCCAGGCTGCTTCTTCGACTATCTGGCTGTGAGTTGTTGAGTTGTCCCAGGTGTTTGTTGGATTGCGTGTTAAGATTTGATTGGTTGATTGAATGTTGAGAGGTGACTGGTTGATTGAATGTTGAGAGGTGACTGGTTGATTGAATGTTGAGAGGTGATTGGTTGATTGAATGTTGAGAGGTGACTGGTTGATTGAATGTTGAGAGGTGATTGGTTGATTGAATGTTGAGAGGTGATTGGTTGATTGAGTATTGAGAGGTGATTGGTTGATTGAATGTTGAGAGGTGATTGGTTGATTGAGTATTGAGAGGTGATTGGTTGATTGAGTGATGACAGTTAATTGAATGAAAACAGTTGATTGAGTGGTGGCACTTGATTGGGTGATGACAGTTGATTGGGTGGTGACAGATGAATGATTTCCTATTGTATTAATATATTTCCGTCATAAACACCCTGCCAGATCCGAGACGGTGGGAGCGCGGACAGTCCATTAATAAGTAAGTCTTGCGGGACGACTCTGCCCGAACCCGTCCGTTCCACAGGCAACCAACTCTTCGTCGTGTTCCACTCTGACCACTCCATAACCTTCAGAGGTTTCAGGGCCAGATATCAAGTAGGTAAGTATCTGCATGTGTGTGTGTGTTTGTGTCTAATGCAGGTAACGTGGCAACCTGTGGTGTAATAGTTAGCATGCTCCACTCTCAAGCTCGTGGTCTCGGGTTCGATTCCCGGGCAGGGTGAAACTATGGGCAAGTTTCTTTACGCCATTTGCCTCTGTCTACCCAGAAATAATTAGGAAATTGAATGTTAATCGAATTACGGGTCTTGTTCCGGGGTAACGGTTACCCAGTGCAATTGGCGAGTTGTCCGGTCTTATCTGACTGGGTCATGCAACTCGTTACCTTAGGCCTTGGGGTGTGATTGTTGTGTTGGCGACATCTTCTACACCTTAATCAAATTCCTGCCTAGGTGGCCCTTGGGCCGGCCATCCTTGAACACGATCGGTAACCATAATTATTAGTGAAACGCGGGTAACCTTTTAACCTGCTCAAACATATAGTAACGTTTTAACCTAAATTTACTTAACGAAACTTGATCACTCATAACGTAACCGAACCTTATAAAACTTAGTTACGTACACTAACCTAACTCTACCTAATGCAACTTAACCTAACCTACCTTAACCAAACCGTAACTGAAGTCTTCGAACCATAATCACACTTAATCCGACCTACCCTATCTTAATCTACCCTAAACTACCCATACTTAGCCTAACTTACCTTAACCTGCCCTAACCTAATCTACCCAAACTTACCCTAACCTAATCTACCCAAACTTACCCTAACCTAATCTACCCAAACTTACCCTAACTTAACCCTGCAGCGTGTGGCGGAGAACTGACAGGAAACACAGGGATATTCAAGTCACCCTACCATCCACAACCTTACCCACATGACCGAACTTGTGTGTACATTATAAGGCAGACACCGGGGAAGGCCATCAGACTCAACTTCACCGAATTTGATATTGAGGGACCCAGCATGTGGAGTGGCTGTGTATTTGATTACGTTGAGGTGAGTTGATTAAGTTCTTGTGTTGGTGATGATGGTATGGTGGTGGTGGTGTTGGTGATGATGGTATGGTGGTGGTGGTGGTGGTGGTGGTGATGATAGTTATGGTATGGTGGTGGTGGTGGTGGTGATGATAGTTATGGTATGGTGGTGGTGGTGATGATGATAGTGATGGTATGGTGGTGGTGGATAGTGATGATGGTGGTGATGATAGTGATGGTATGGTGGTGATGATAGTTATGGTGGTGGTGGTGATGATAGTTATGGTATGGTGGTGGTGGTGATGATAGTGATGGTATGGTGGTGGTGGTGGTGATGATAGTGATGGTATGGTATGATGATGATAGTTATGGTATGGTGTGGTGGTGGTGATGATAGATGGTGGTGGTGGTGGTGGTGGTGATGATAGTGATAGTATGGTGGTGGTGGTGGTGATGATAGTGATGGTATGGTGGTGGTGGTGATGATGATAGTTATGGTATGGTGGTGGTGGTGGTGGTGATGATAGTGATGGGTATGGTGGTGGCGATGATGGTGGTATGGTGATGACGATAATCTATAACAATAATACAGATAATAATAGTAATAATAATGATAATACTGTAATATAAGTATAAATGATCAGAAAAAGAATGATAATGAGAATAACAAAAATGATTTCTATACTAACAACAATGATACAACCAGTCATTACACCGTCTATCTCTCCCCTTGAATATTTCCAATACCATTACGTGATCACAGAAGGATAAATATACCGTAATTTCTAAACAAATATACTAGTGTGTGGTTATGTAATATATCGACCACCAGGTTCGTGACGGTCGACGAGACACCGCGCCTCTACTCGGCAAATTCTGCGGACCCTCAACACATCGGCCAGAACCCATCATCTCCACTCACAACTATCTTCGAGTTAAGTTCCGGACGGATAGCTCAATCAGTAACAGAGGTTTCTTGGCTAACTACACCACGATTGATACAAGTGAGTCGGTGTTTCAGTTTACTAGGGAGAATATTATAGGTGCATAAGTACAAATAAAATTAAAGTATAGTTACAGGTACACTACTAAAGTAAGCACAGGTACAGTACAGATGAGAGTACAAGTATAGATATTTCAAAACATATAAGTATTACATTTTATCTATCTATTGACCATCTATTTTCCGTCTATATTCATATGTCCCTCTCTATCAAACAATTAAATAACTTCCCTTTTATCCTTGACCTGTATCTACCTATTCTCTTCCTGTCTGTATCAATCCTTCAATAGATCCTTTTTTTTTACCCATCTACCTATGTCTACCAATCCATCTATCCATCTAATTCTTCCCCTCTCTCAGGATGCGGTGGGGTACTACGGGATATCTTTGGGTTGGTCAACTCCCCCAACAGCCCAGACACCTACCCCAGCAATACAGACTGCAACTGGGTGCTGGACCTTCCCCCAGGCTATGTCATTCAGATCACTTGGCAGTCTTTTTCCCTCGAGCAACACTTCAACTGCAGATACGACTACATTGAAATATTTGATAATTCATCCATCCCTGGTTCAGGAGGACGTATGGGAGAGTGAGTATTTGACGTCCTATCCACCTATATCTATCTATCTATCTATATCTATCTGTCTATATCTATCTATCTATCTATCTATCTATCAATCTATCTGTCTGTCTGTCTGTCTGTCTGTCTGTCTGTCTGAGCACAAAGGGGTGCGGCGGACGTGTCGATACAAAGTTCGATTCCAGTTATAATTTCATCGGTTCGCATCCGGGAGACACAGTCCACACCCAGCGGCGAATCGGTACCTGACTTTTAGTTGGACAAGTGAAGGCGTTCGAGTACAGTGCCGATCATCCTGCTGCGTCCTCCTTGTGTAGCGAGGTTTTATACCCAGAACAGGACTTCATTAGGCTTATGGAAACTACTTATTTTTACATCATTTCCACTTTAAGAAGGACAGGCTAAGTCATATTTATTTGGTATTGATATTGAAACAGTTTATTTAGCCAGAAAAATACAGATACAGAGTGGATAATAATAACAATATTGATATGGCTGAGCACTTGATATAGTATACTGTACATTTAACGCGAGGAAGTGTTATGTAACATTTAGTATTATCTGGAATAGTACACATAACATGGTGTTATTAAGAACATATTATAAGAATGTTATCACTTACTTATTTATTTAATTTTTTTACATATATACATTTAAGTATATACTGTACATATTTTACAATGGAGTTGATATACATTAATATTATAAAAATGTGAAACAAGAGGATAGAACCTGTCAGTATCATGTCTTGTCGGCAAATATGTAATTTTTTCGAAGGTAATTTCTATCTAAAACACGAGATAATGGTTTTGGTGGTACAATAAAAGTAGGAATATAAAGTAGATATTACAAAAATTTTAATACTTGGACAATAGATATTTTTTAAGAGATGATTTAAAGGAAGGGAGCGTAGTCTTTGCTCGGATGGGTGGGGGTAAGTTGTTCCACACCTTCACACCATGATATTTTATGGAGGTCTGGGACTGAGAGGAGTGCATGGAAGGTGGTCTTAGTAGCTCTGGGTGCCTTAAATTGTATCTCGGATTATTCCGGAACTGAAAATCATTATCAATCAAGGGATTGGCGAATTTGTAAACAAACAGGGCACAACAGTAGGTGTTAATATCCTCGAATATTAACATTTTCAATTTAGCAAATTGTTCGTTAGTATGAACAGGTTTTTTTCTTCAAATTGGTCATTATCCGCACAACTCTCATCTGTGCAGTAATCAGGGGTTGTGTTTTTGTAGAGCCAGAGGCCCCATAATGTGTGGCAGTGTACCAAGTGTTGGTAAACAAGATCATAATAGATTTCTTTCATTGCTGGGGGTAAGTTTTTGCTTTTGTGAAAGATTGTGTAGTGGGTTTTTTCGATGTTTAATGTCAGATTGATGATTATTATAGCAGACATACTGCTTCCTGTTAGACAGATATGAGATAAACCAATTGTATTGATGAAAACTATGAACGCTGAATTGACTAAAGTCAGAACCTGGAGAATACGAAATAAACTTACCCCCAGCAATGAAAGAAATCTATTATGAACTTATTTACCAAGAAGACCACTCATATGGAATCTATTATAGCGGGCCTGAGAAACTGCGTCGTACAGCGGCGTTTCAAACAGTCATAACCGTGTGATAGAGGGAGGGACGGGTATGGCGTCACACGACTCAATGTCGCATGATCTATCCGTATGGAATTAATTCTGGGGAGCCTGGGATACTGGTGGGGTGATCCGTGACGTAACATCAGCAGACCACCTACGCTGTATCAAGCCTACCATTAGTTTGTGCACATTTTATGCCCTGTCTCAATATTGTTTTCTACTTAAGTATAATAGCTAAATTAAGTAACAATATTGTGATGGCGTCTCTCTCTCTCTCTCTCTCTCTCTCATGCAACCAAACCCGTATGTTTGTTAAATTTTAGTAATTGTTTTATTATTACATTTAATGATCTTTAAAATACGTGATTATATACCTTAGCTGTTATAGAAGTGCACTGACTAATACATTATAACATCAGCATCTTTTCCCCAGACATAGGTACTGTGGCTCAGATACTCCACCAATCATGACGTCCTCCGATAACTTGGTGACCATCCACTTCCACTCTGACCACAGTGTGAACCATGATGGCTTCTCCTTCACCTACCATGGCATTGACGCTTCCAGGTGTACGTATCTGTGTGTGTTGGTTATATATCCTCACACATATCGACCAAATTCGTGAACTTGCTTGTACAAATTGTAAGGACGAGAAGAAAAACCTAATCACAGTAAAACTCTTTCTTCTTTTCTCTCCGCTCATCAGCTTGCGGTGGTCACTATCATACGGAGATGGGAATGATTAGCTCACCCAACTACCCGGAATACTATCCACACCAACGGACCTGTGAGTGGACTATATCAGTGGCCGTGAGACATCAAATACGGCTTACCTTCGTGGATGTGGAGATCGAGGAGGCTGATAATTGTGGATTCGATTCCTTGGAGATTAGGTAAGGGATGATTGGAGATCTGGTGAGGAATGATTGGAGAAAGACGAGAAATGGTTGAAGATCAAGTGAGGAATGGTTGGTGATAAGGTAAGGGAAGATTAAGGATTAGGTAACAATATAGGCATGTGTTAGTGCTGTGAAAACCCAAGTATTTATCACAGGAAAACCTCAGTTTGAAACCTTGGCCAGAGTATGTACAGTCCCCTTCGCTAGTGCGTTTACAGGGCCCGTCAGGTGTTGTGCAGTGTGGCAACACTGTGTTTATTTGCATTCGACAGAATGAGACTCGCAATAGTAAACCTACTATGGAATCAAATTAAAACAATATTAAAACAAATATCTCATCGCCACGGCTGACGAAGTATCTACAAGCTTAGTGCCCAGCATCGCTCTCTCACCGGCATACTTATCGCCAGACGTTCTTTTGTCTTCTGGTAGGAACGGCAAGTACGACACTTCGCCACTGATGACGAAGATCTGCAGCAGGAACAAGACTGTGCCGGAGGTATTCTCTCACAACCACCAACTGTACCTCAAGTTCAGAAGCGACCCCAGTGTTTCTTATGAGGGCTTCAAGCTCTTCTGGGATGCGGCGGCTACAGGTGTGTGGTACTATACTGTACACATGAGAGATATGCAAGAGAAAAACTTAATTGTCTGCCTATAATATTGAATGACTAGATATATCTTACCTTTAAATCTGATTGCCTAGTTATTGACTTATTACACTGCCTATTTACCTATCTACCTATTATGTTATTTACCTACTCTCAACTTAACCTCGATCGTCTCTGGCTGGGTACAGGATGCGGAGGGCATATGACAGCAGAAACGGGAGAGATTATCTCACCTGGGTACCCTCAGCCATACCACCACCTGGCGGACTGTTACTGGACTATCACCGTGGCCGAGGGGTCTGCTGTCAGGCTTCACTTCATCGACATGGATATGGAAACTTCACCTGGTTGTTACTATGACTTCATTGAGGTGAGAAATGTGAAAGTCTTCGTTACTTGCAGTTGATTATCATTGTATGTTGATGATATGTTTGAATAAAAAAATTTTTATGAATGATCAGTGATTTATTTTATGTATGCCCTTTTTTATATCTGTCAAGACTTTACCTCTTTTTACAATATAAAGTGGGGAAGCCGGAATATCTCTCTCTCTCTCTCTCTCTCTCTCTCTCTCTCTCTTTTAAATCACTTGTATGATCTTACCACTCTAATGAATGTATTCTGCTATGGTATTCCTACATCAAGGGCTCAAAATACTGATTTAGTCTACCTCTTATCCCTTCACACAGGTCAGCATCACCCACCAGCATGTTGTTCCCTAAAACTCACTCGACGCCATGCGCAGTGCTGATTCATGGTTGTCTATCCTTCCTTACCTCTTCCCTTCCTCTCAATCTGTCCAACATCACCTGACCAAACCTTGATCTACTCTGTCCAGAAACATCTCTCACCATCTACTCCGTATTTCCACATCTCTAATTACCCCACAGATAACTGTCTGTAGATCCCCCTGTCTCAACATCTGTTTATTGTTTTGTGGAGACGGGAAATAATATACCTGTTATATTTCACCTGTCTCTATTTCTCTCCCTCCCGTGTTTGGTCCAGGTGCGTGATGGCAGTTCCCCACTCTCCCACCTGCTGGGGAGATACTGTTCACTTAATCTAGGTGTCATCTCCCTCAACTCATCCGGCAATTCACTCTGGCTCCGCTTCCGCTCTGATTACAGTTCCTCCGGCAGGGGCTTTAAGGCTACGTATATGACAGGTAAAGATATTGTTGTTAGCTTGGTGTACATGGCGTCTCTGGTTGTTAGTTCTCGATACTACAGTAAAGAGAGAGAGAGAGAGAGAGAGAGAGCATAAGGGGAAGAGGTAAATAGACAGACAGAAAGACAGACAAGTAAGAAGTGAGAGAGAGAGAGAAGAACTAGAAGAGAAAGGGATAAAGAGATAGATAGAATGACAGATGTAAGAGAAAGAACGCTAGGGGAGAAACGATAGATAGATAGATAGTTTAGACAGACAGACAGATAGATAGATGTAAGAGTGGAGAGAGAGAGAGAAGTATTACAATAATGGACAGTAAGACGTGACAAGTCTACCACAACACTGACCACTCTCGTATCCTTCATACAGACTGTAACAGAGTCGTGAGAGGTCCACGAGGAGTCATCACAACACCAGGTTTCCCCGACCCATACCCTCTCAACCGCAACTGTACGTGGACCATCGTGGCACCTTTAGGCAACTCTATCAACGCCTCCTTCAGCAGTTTCGTCTTGGAGGATCATATTAATCAAGAGACCAATGAGTGCCTCTTTGATTACGTAGAGGTTAGTGTAAAACATAATGGGATACGGTGGCCGTGTGTAAACAGTGTTCACAGACTATCCTAATGGACGTTGGTTCATGGCTGGGTGAATGGATACCTGGTTAGAGAATTGAAAGAGGTTGAGAAGAGTACCAGGTCATTGCGACATACCTTCACTCTCAGTATGAAAAGTAGGTCTTCAGCAGTAGTTTGTGGTTTGGTAAAGAATATCACACACACACACAGACAAACATACAAACAATTAAGTCAACCATTCACTCAATCAGTCATTTAATCAATCAGTTAATCAGCCAATCAATCAATCAACGAGTAAAATATAAACTCCAAGAGGCATTAAGCCAAGGCCCTTAAGTACTCCTTATGTTACAGCTGTACGAGTCTCAGGACAGGGACAGGAGAGGATCGAGGTTGGGTCACTATTGTCGTAACTTGCCTCCCCCTGTCGCTACAGCTTCCCGCATGAACAGACTCGAGGTGAACTTCGTCAGCGACTACTTGGTGCCAATGAACGGCTTCAGGATGGAGTGGATAGTGAACGGTGAGTGGTGACAGTTGCTAGAGGAACGGACTTTTGGCGATAGTAGTCAAGAATGCCCTTTACCCTTTAGAGATGATTACAAAATTTGGATTAATACCATAAACATATCTCGCTTAAAGTACTGTACTCTTTCCTTCAGGATGCGGCGGTGAGCTGACCAAGTCTTCGGGTATCATCTTAAGCCCGAATTACCCGAACTCCTACCCGAGCAACACAGAGTGCGAATGGCATATCAGCACCCACCCAGGCACCAAAATTCAGATCACCATCCATAGCATCGATCTAGAGAACGCCGGGAACTGTATCTTTGACGTGCTGCAGGTGAGATGGTCCCTAACTTGGTGATAAGTCTTGTAATTCTGGTGACAGTAGTGAGTGTTGCCTAGAGAGAGAGAGAGAGAGAGAGAGAGAGAGAGAGAGAGAGAGAAAATGTATTACACTCGTGTTTTCTTACAGATACACGGGGGAGAGGACAACACCTCGCCGAGGCTCACCTCACTATGCCACGAGCAGATGGACGCCACCACCGTTACTACACAGGGCAACCAGGCTTTTATCAGCTTTCGCAGTGATCAGTCCGTCAGGGGGAAAGGCTTCAACATCTCCTACACCAGTCTCCCTGGCGGTACGTACTTCCTCCTTCTCTTTCTTTCCTTCCTCTGAGAACAGTCTCTCAGGGTTGAGGAATTCAAAATATCCTTCCCCTCCATCCCTGCCTCTTTCTCTTCCTTCATTTTCTTATCCCTCCTCCTCCTCTTTATCCTCTATTCTTCTGTTGTCCAGATCACTTCCTCTTTCCATCGTTTTATCTGATTTTTGTTGTTGTCTCCTCCTTCCCATTACTATTTTTCTTGTTCTCATTTCATTACACTTCATTCCTGTATTTTGACTTACCAATCACACTCTTCCATTCCATCAGTTCTATCATACATCCATCCATCCATCCATCCATCCAATTAACAGAGACCTATCCACATCGACAGGTTGTGGTGGATTGTTTACCACACCAAGTGGCACCATCCACTCCCCTAATTATCCACAACACTACGACGTCCACTCAGACTGTGTGTGGACTATCCGGGTCAATCGACTCCACGTCGTAGAGCTGAACTTCACCAACTTCGATGTGGAGCCGAGCACCAACTGTACCTATGACTACGTGTCGGTGAGTTCAAATTAGGTTACGTTGGGTTAGGTTTGATTAATTTAGGATAGATTATGTTAGGTTAAGTTAGATGAAATTAAGTTAGATTAGGTTTGGCAAGGTAAGGCTAATTTTTGTTAGGTTAAGTTTGTTTAGGGTGGGTCAGTTTAGGGTTGGTTCGGCCAGGTTAGGGTGCTGCGTGCGTGTGAACCCGATTTTTGAAATTCTCACATTTATAAAGTATCTAAGAATGTTAAGAACTGCCAAGGTTAAATAATGGATATATTAATTACCCTGGAATAAATATCTCAAAGTCCCTAGGCTAGTTTAAAAAAAAGACAACTATATCTCATTCTCATCCAGGTATGCTAAGGACCCTATATTAGTGCACCCCTTCAGATAACCGGGTTCTATCTCTTATCACACTTAGGTATCAAGGTAATAAGTGCCCTGTCATCCTTTCAGGTGTGGGACGGAGAGAACGAGGATTTCCCCCTCCTCCTCCAACACTGTGGAGCCTCCCTACCTGTTCCTTCTCTCGTGAGGGCTTCTGGCAACGTCATGACAGTCAGACTAAAAGCAGATGGGTCTTTGAGCGCCAAGGGCTTTACGGCTAATTACCAAATGGTAAATGTCCCCCTCATACTCATACGCCACTCTTCCTCCATACATTACTCTCCTCCTTATAACACTAGAAATTCTTCATATACTTCTGCCCTTCATACATCCATACACGAATGTCCTTCATGCACCCATACACCACTCTTCTTTATACATGCATACACTCCTCTTTCATACACTTATATAATACTCTTTTTTTCATGCGCCCAAAGATTGTTCCTACGTTCATAGAGAGAAACATCTACAGAATCCTTCAATCATGCAAAGATATGTTTACAGATGCCAACAGGTATATATGGATACAGTCATGGGTAATATCTACAGTTATACGTACATGTATTCATGGTATCTACAGTTATAGGTACATACAGTCATGGGTAATATCTACAATTTTACATGTACACAGACACACAATCATGGGCTTTGCTTACATGCAGTTGAACACAGTCACGATTCAAAAAAATGGGCAGATAGAGACAGACAGACAGACAGACAGACAGACAAACAGACAGACAGATTGACTTAATTTCCTCGTTTATTCTTCAGGGTTGTGGGGCATCCTTGGAGGTCAGCTTGGACGAGACGGGAGAATTGACCTCTCCTCACTACCCAAGTCCTTACACTGCCACGCTCAACTGTTCCTGGCATATTTACGCTCCTCCAGGTATGGTTTCATTGTCGGTCATCTTTCTAAGTCAGTTTTCTATTGAGTTAGTTTCTTTATTGGTCAACTTCCCCATGAGCCAATTAATCATCTCTGCAGTTAATCTCCCCGTGAGCCAATTAATCATCTCTTTAGATAATCTCCCCATGAGCCAATTAATCATCTCTTCAGTTAATCTTCCCATGAGCCAATTAATCATCTCTTCAGTTAATCTCCTCATGAGCCAATTAATCATCTCTTCAGTTAATCTCCCCGTGAGCTAATTAATCATCTCTTCAGTTAATCTCCCCATGAGCCAATTAATCATCTCTTCAGTTAATCTTCCCATGAGCCAATTAATCATCTCTTCAGTTAATCTCCCCATGAGCCAATTAATCATCTCTTCAGTTAATCTTCTAATGAGCCAAATTTCTAGTAAGTCAGTGACCTTGTAAGTCAGTTTCCTGCTAATGATCAGTTTCACCATAAGTAGAGGTAAAACAGGTGTTGCGAGGTAGAGGTAAAATAGGCTTTGAGAGGTAGAGGTAAAACAGGTGTTGAGAGGTAGAGGTAAAATAGGCTTTGAGAGGTAGAGGTAAAACAGGTGTTGAGAGGTAGAGGTAAAATAGACGTTGAGAGGTAGCGGCAAAGCAGGTGTTGAGAGGTCGAGGTAAAATAGACGTTGAGAGGTAGAGATAAAACAGGTGTTGAGAGGTAGAGGTAAAATAGACGTTGAGAGGTAGCGGTAAAACAGGTGTTGAGAGGTAGAGGTAAAATAGGCTTTGAGAGGTAGAGATAACACAGGCGTTGAGATATACACTTAAAACACATGTTGAATTGTTCAAGTAACTCCATAATACACGTGTCTAACTCTTTATCCCCATGTCCACAGGTTACCGTGTCCACCTGCACATAGTTCACTTGGACATACACTCACGTTTCCCTCCCAACGTCAACTGCAGCCATGAATATTTAGCTGTAAGTATGCATGCCCTTATGAGAGAGAGAGAGAGAGAGAGAGAGAGAGAGAGAGAGAGAGAGAGAGAGAGAGAGAGAGGCTATATCATGTCACAGCTATGATGCGCGTATTATAAAACTGCTCTTCTCAGGTACTGGACGGAGGTCAGCTAGACTCACCAATGCGGGGAAAGTACTGTGGTGACAGAGCGCCCAGGTCCATCGTCTCGTCCTCCGAGTACCTCACAGTAACGCTGATTAACAACTACGCCTTTGTCACCTTCAAGTAAGTTGGCTGAGAGAGAAAGAAGGTATATCCTGTCATGCTATGAACTCCCATGGCTTTATATGATCTTATATGGATGCATTTGACCCGGGATGACCTCTCTTCCCCCAGGGCAGCATACAGCGTGTTCAGTTCGAGATGTGGGGGCACGATGACCTCGGCTAGAGGGGAATTAGCGAGCCCACACTACCCGGAGCCTTACCCGGGCCACACCGAGTGTGAGTGGACGGTCAACGCCGGTCCAGGTACGTCTGAGTATCAGGTACTATGTTAGTTAATCAACCAGGTATGTCTGAGAGTCACTTACGATTGTAATTACTGATTGAGCCACGTAAGATTCTAGTGAGCCAGTTATGGTACAAGTATTTAAGCTTAGTAACCAGGATAATAAACATCGAGCAAGGTAAAGCACTGATTACAAAGACGCGATTTACTCTGATCATTCATTCATCTACACCTGTAGTCTGATTACACTTCATCTATCTCACTGATTTCCTGAATAAGTAAAATCTGACTCCAGTTCATCTACTGTACCTCACCTTTTTCCCTCCCCATACTTCCATGGATTTCACCTTCACTCCTTTCCCTCCACACAGGTAACAGTCTACGATTAGATTTCATAGAGTTTGACTTGGAGGAAACTGACGGCTGCAACTTGAATTACGTCGAGGTGCACGAACGTGATCCCACCGGCCCGCTTCTCCTTCACAACTGCACGACCTCCAGCACTTCTCTTCCCGCACCTATCACGGTCCGCGAGTACCTCTGGATCAAGTTCCGTTCTGATATTAATGGCGTTGGAGCCCGGGGTTTCCTGGCCTCCTACAGTCTGTGTGAGTGATGTCTTGAAATCAGATGTTTATTGGGTAGAATTGATAATAAATGATAAGAGAGAGAGAGAGGAATTACAACACCCGGGTATATGATGTTATAGGCATACGCTGTACACAACCACTGACATAGTACATTTCTACCCACACCGTAAACTCAACCACTTAACGAATCCACTTCTCTACACACAGTATTCGGCAACTCGCTGTATGGGGAGTCGGGAGAGGTCACATCACCCTTGTACCCTCACACGTATATGGGCGCAGAAGACATTACCTGGACCATCACAGTGCCTTGGGGGAAATACGTCAGCATTACCTTCCTCGATATGGATATTGAGAGTAACCCAGTCGTGGATGAGTGTAATGCTGGCCTGGTGGTGAGTTGGTGTGGTGGTTGGGTTAATTGGTAGGTGTGGTGGTTGGGTTAATTGGTAGGTGTGGTGGTTGGGTTAATTGGTAAGTGTGGTGGTTGGGTTAATTGGTAAGTGTGGTGGTTGGGTTAATTGGTAGGTATGGTGGTTAGGTTAATTGGTAGATGTGGTGGTTAGTTTAGGTTAGGTTAGATTAGGTTATGCATGGACTTAAAAAACTTCCCCTCTGGTTCTCGTCTTTTCCTTATCCATAGTATTTACGACACAGATCTACAATGGTCCGAGCAGTGAGTACAGCTCGGTGTTGGGTACCTTCTGTGGGTATGAGACGCCCTCTGAACCGATACTGACGGGTAGGCGGTCGGTGTTGGTGAGGCTCAATTTCCGGCACGTTCATGAAGGATCCAGATTCAAGTTCCGATACGACGCCGTCAGCAGGTCGGAAAACATGGGCCAAAGTCACCTTGGTAAGACCCCATACCCTCCCCCCGCCTCTCCTCCCCTCCCCTCCTTCCTTCCTTCCCTTCCCTTCCCTTCCCTTCCTTCCCTTCCTTCCTTCCTTCCCTTCCCTTCCTCCCTCCTTCCCTCCCAGATCTATTACGTGTTTAGTGCCATTGTGTTTTGTTTTGCCTTGAAGTGGTATCAGCAAATTTCCCACATTATTTCAGTATTATCGTCAATAGATTTTAACTTTACCTGAAGCAGATAAGTGTTATTTAATATTTTTTCTTCATCATAAAGTTTAAGTATTTAGTGGCCACATAGAGCGGCTCCAAGGGCTTGTTTATTTCATGTGGCGGCTTTGAGACGACTTCCTTTAAACTACTTGTGAAAGATAATATGAAACCAAATTAATATTAAGTAATTAACTAACCTCTACCTTAAAAATAATGCTAGCTCATTAATATTGCTTGTTTAAGTTAGGTTAGATTTGGTAATTCATGTTTTCATCCTTGGTCTAATGCCAGATTTCTATACTTACACAAGATACTGTATATCAAATAATCCTTGTGGACTGATGTTTGTATGACACACACACACACACACACACACACACACACACACACACACACACACACACACACACACACACGAGAGACACCCAACAATTCACAGCCCTTTTTTAACAATCTCCTTTATCCCTCAGCCGGGGCCTCAAACAACTGCAGTTATATGGTGTCGATTAATGGCTCTTCCGAGATAAGTAACCCAGGTCACCCGGGCTACGCTAACAACCTTAACTGTGAGTGGATCATTGAGGCGCCTCCCCACGAGAAGATCAAGATCTTCATCATGTTTGAGCTGGAAGAGTCATCCTCGTGTTTTTATGACTACATCGGCGTTTACGACGGTGGGTGAGGTTGGGTCTGTCTGTCTGTGAGCTGGTGTGTATGTGTTTTTCTGTCTGTCTGTGGGCTTATGTGTGTGTGTGGGCCGGTGCTTTTGTGTACATGTGTGTGTATTGGTCCCTGTCTAACAGACAGTAATGCTTATATAAATGTGGGTGACATACATTAGGTTTATATAATTACATCACCCAGGGTAACTTTCCTACGAGCCGCGAGTAGTCATCAAGTGGACCTGTGACAGTGTATAAACATTTATGAATGTTGCTTCCAGTTCACCTCTAATGAGTCATTCCAATAGGTAACCGGATACTGCAACATGTGTATGTGTTAATGCCTTGTGTTTATGTTTCTCAGCTGGGGCTCCTTTGTCCAGTGATTCTCAAACTGGGGTCAGCGAAAAGTTTTTGAGATAGTGTGTTTAACGTTTGTGAGAGATTTGGCGATTCCAATTCGCAGGATATTTTGGATTTGGGTTGAAATGAACAAATACTATGATTTATTCTTTGATTATTGACAATATTTGTATGCGTCATGGTATATAAAGGGTCCTTGGTTGAAAAAAGTTTGAGAACCCCCTGCCTTAGTCAACAGAAATGCATGTGAAAGAAAGAGGTCATATAATCACCTGGATGTTTCAGTTACTAATCTACATGTCTCTCACTCACCTGAATGTCTCGTACAACTCTTTCTCTTGAACAGGTGTGGGAGGAAAGAGAAATTGGAACCTTACCGAGAAATTATGTAGGAGAGAACAAAACCACTACTTCTTCATCAGCTCCGGCAGGTACCTGAGACTACGCTTCATTACTGATGGAAGTGTGAACCACAATGGTTTTAGAGCCTTCCTTTATACAGGTAAATATTCTAGGTTAAGTTAGGTTGGGATGGGTTAGGTTAGTGAAAGGTTAGGTTGGGTTGGGTTGATTTAGTGAAAGGTTGGTTAATCTTAAGGTAAAATAAGCTTGGGGGGGGCGGGGTAATCTCGTTATCCGAACGACCTTCTCACGACCATTGCTCTACTACAGTATATACTATGATATTTTTCAGTGTGTGGCGGTTTCCTTGAAGGAGCTGAGGGCGTCATCAGTAGCCCGAAGTTCCCTGATAACTACCCTTCTGGTCAAGACTGTCAGTGGTCCATCAGGGTCGGGATAGGCAAAACTATCCGCCTCGAGTTTGACACCTTTAGGGTCGCAAATTCTACATCCACCTGTGGCGGCGATTACCTGTTGGTGAGTCTTATTATTTTACCTTCAATAACAATCTTCAAAGTTTAAACCACTCCTGCGAAACCTCCACCCATGACTGGCCACTGCTAAAACCTCCCAACCATCACTGATCACTCATACAGAACCTCCATCAATATACATATTCCTCCTCCAATCACTGACCACCCTCGAAACTCTCCACCAATCACTGACAACCCCTGAAACTGTCCACCAATCATTAAGCACTCCTAAAGACGCCTCTACCAATCATTGACCACTCTTAAAACAGCTCCACCAATGACTAACCACCACACTCCTTCCCGCCGACAGATCCGGAATGGAGGAACACAATCGTCACCATTCCTGGGCGCAGGCAAGTTTTGCGGGCTATCTACCCCACAGATAGGGGAGAGCTCTTCTAATATTCTCCTGCTGAGATTCGTCACAGATAACTCCATTCATGAGAAGGTAAACAAACGGCCTCTCTTATGACATATTTTCTTTTTCTATTTGGGCAAAGTGAAGATTATTAATGCCTTCAGCGTCCAGTTTTGTTAGTATTATTATTATTATTTATTATTAGAAGTAGCAGTAGCTGGGGAAGCCGACGTTGTTGGATTTGTTTTGGGGGAGCAACTCACAGCCTAAGCCGTGAATACACTATCATCTACACTACATCAACTAAACTATCATCTACACTGCAGTAACTACAATATTATACTATACACTATTCTCTACACTACATCTATAATTTCTACACTATCACTTTTTAGTATGGGTCCCGGCACTCTTCCCCCAACGTTCTTTACCTAAATCGAAAAAGTAATACTGAACCTACATAACCCCCCCCCCCCCCTCCCCCCACGGGACCCTTTAGTGTGCCGATAAAGGTTCAGTTCTGTTCAAGGCTGTTGCACTGACTGACACACACACACACAGGCTCGTTTTTGTCATCATTTTTTTGGTATTAATTAATATTATTATTTTCTTCTGGTCGTATGAGTACTGACGTCACTGTATCTGCCTAGGGTTTTAAGCTACGTTATTATGAACAAGCGGCCACGTGTGGAGGTCAGCACCGCCTCACAGCTGACCTGCCCAGGCTCACCATACACTCCCCGAACTTCCCCAACTCCCCAAACCCTTACACCGAGTGCTCCTGGACCATCCTCGCCCCCTCGGAGAAGACCATTTCACTTCACTTCGACGACACCTTTACCATACCAAATCTTTTGTAAGTACGACCATAATGACAATAATGAAATGGATTTTATTATAACAAGATATATCAAAAGAAGACCTCAGACAAGTTCAATTATTAGTATTTGTGGTCAATATTGTCCAGATTTATCGCTCCTGAAACTCTAGACATGTGAATTTGCTAAGGATCACTTTATTTAACATTTTTAAATTAAATTGTGTCCTGTGATGTTTTAATTGAACCCAAAAAAGCGGGATGTGAATGATGCCACTGAGCTACTGTGATCTGTTCGATGATGGTGATAGTAGTAGACATGTTTATTATTATTATTATTATTATTATTATTATTATTATCATTATTATAAAAGTATTAGAATCATCATTACTTCAACAGTGGCAGCTGTGACCAGGCGTTCATAGAGGTGAGGGACGGAGGAACCATCATCTCCCCACCGCTGCTGGATAAGTTCTGCGGCACCATCAACCCTGGCACCGTACACACCACCGGCAGTGCTATCTACGTCCGCTACTACAACAACATCACCGAACACCATCCAGGTTTCCAGGCCGACGCCACCATAGGTAAGATTCTGAAGGGGTATGTATACGCTGTAAGAATTTTTAGTATATGTATACATGTGACGCGGTCGTGAAGTCTATATACTGACTTGTAGTGATGTGTGTATAACTTAGACATACAAAACTTTTAACTTCTCAATCAGTAGCTAGTGGGTTACTCTATCTCCATCTCTTCCTCACGTATACTTGAACATATTTGAGTACTTTAATATACACTTCCACCCTATCTGATTCTCTTGATATATTACGGAAGTATCTAAGTCACTGAAATAAATACATAGATGTTTCGGTACTTAACTATTGTACTTTCTTCCCGCGCTTACGTCGGTTCATTAGTAAGAGGAGGTGTGCAATTTAGCGACTAGAGAAGCGCGCCAATAGACTATTATTTTAGCCGACATGTAATTAAGTTTTATTAGTTAAATTCTCTAGTGGTAAATACATGAACTCACAGATACAAACACATACCTCGCCTCTCATACCCAGATATCTACGGGACACACACACACACACACACACACACACACACACACACACACACACACACTAAATTGGAAACCACACGTCAGTGAAGTTGTCAAATCCTCCAGTTTCCGTCTCCACCTCCTCCGCCGACTCAAGTCCCTCGGAGTTCCTGCACCCGAGCTCCTCAGTGTTTACACAACATTCATACTTCCCAAGCTCACCTATGCCTCCCCCACCTGGTCTTCCTCCCTAAATGCCACACAACGTAAACACCTAGAAAAAGTGCAAAAGAGGGCATGCAAGATTATTCTCTCCCCTTCCTACTCCACATATCAAGAAGCGCTCAACACACTGACCCTTTCGACTCTCACTGACCATCACCACGACCTCATCTGCAAATTTGGTAAGAAGCTTCTACACCATCCTCGACACCGGCTCCTACTACCACCTGAGATCCCTAGCCCGAGAATTGCTGTTCGACACCACAACCGCATCCAGCCCACCGTGAACTGATCGCTATAAGAACAGCCCAGTCCCAACCATTGTAAAATTATCAATAACTTGTAATAAACCAGTGTATTCACTCCCAGTAAACACTACTCCTTGCACTGTCACTATGTTGAAATGAACTGTAGTTTGAGCTTTTCCCCATCTAGTTATTATATATCTTATTTGTATCACTTGTGTTACTTGTATATTATTTGTAATTCGAAACCTATTCCCCAAATATGTAACTGTATATTTTCAGCCTTCTGGCTGCCAAGCTCTTTCAATAAACCGTTAATTATTATTATTATTATTATTATTATTATTATTATTATTATTACACACACACACCTCACCCTCCTCTTCTTTCTCTAAGATACGTGTGGAGGATCCTACAACGCTATAGACGGAGGCTACCTGAGCACACCTGGCTTCCCGGGTCCCTATGCTCATGACCTGAACTGCACCTGGAGGATTGTGGCGCCCCTGGGTCACTACGTCTCGCTACATATGCTGGACGTGGACATCTACTCCCTCTCTGATAACTGCACCCAACCACGAGCCCGACTCCAGATACGAGACGAAAATGCAACTGGTGAGATAATAATGATAATTGAGGTACCTGAGTGTAGTTGCTGAGTGGTGGTGTTAGTTTAGTATGATATTCACACAAGCAGTACCAGTTCATGATTCTCCATTGTTTCCGTACAGGAGAGATACTGGGGACGTACTGTAGCTCAGGGGAGTTGGTGGAACCCGTCAATACGGCCTCCAATATCGCCTTTATATCCTTCAGGGGAGGAGACAACCCAGCCAACAGCAAAGGTGTCCGTATCATGTTCAACAGCAGTCAAGAGGGTACGTGTGTGTTTTTCTCTCTCTCTCTCTCTCTCTCTCTCTCTCTCTCTCTCTCTCTCTCTTTTATATTTAGCTAACGAAACTATCACCCATAGCTATTCATAAATTACCAAATTTATGAATAATAATAATAATACTAATAATAATAATAATAGTAATCTGACTGGCCTGTCTCTTATGATCAGAGTGTGGAGGTGAGGTGACCGGGATAGAGGGAGAGATTAGATCACCAGGTTACCCCCATGGATACCCCAGTAGGAGGATTTGTGATTGGGTCATCAGAGTTCCTGCGGGCAAAAGAGTGCAGCTTCGTTTCCTTGACTTAGATATCCCGAGTGCCCAGATGAACTACGCATTTACCGACGATGTGTATCACTATTGCCCAGATTTTATTGCGGTGAGTGACGATGGGATGACGTGTTGTGTTGTTGGGAATGTTGTGTTGTTGTTGGGAATGTTGTGTTGTGTTGTTGGGAATGTTGTTGTTGTTGTTGGGAATGTTGTGTTGTTGGGCATGTTGTGCTGTGTTGTGGTGAATGTTGTGTTGTATTGTGTTGTGTTGGGAATTTCGTGTTGTATTGTGTTGGGAATTTCGTGTTGTGTTGCGTTGGGAATTTCGTGTTGTTGTATTGGATGTTTTGTGGTGTGTGTTATGGTGTTATGTACTGTGTGTTGTGTTGTGGTGTTGGGAATGCTGTGTGTGTGTGTGTATGTGTGTGTGTGTGTGTGTGTGTGCGTGTGTAATTTAGTTAATTTATATATTCCAGGTGAGGGTCTCTATACACCTTTCCTGACTGACATAGTGATAGATAACTTTCCTCTGTTAAAAAGTCTCTCGCTGTTTTCTTGCTACCAGCTTCCCACACTCTCTCTTTACAACACCAATCACTTACTATAACTCACAGCTTGTCTCTCTATCTCTCATTCTCAGGTACAACGATTCATCTGTTTTTTTTTTCATTTTTCGTTGTGACTTATAAGACTTTTTTCACAGATCCGGAATGGCCCGGAAGTTCACTCGCCTGTTTTAACGGGACGATACATATGCAGTAACATTTTGGTAAGTCGATGGTACATTATTTTTAAAGTGAATGCATTTACATTTCATTTCCTAATTCACCTTACCTCTTTTGACAGCCATTTGCAAGTTGATAGGTTATAAGTCTCATTTCTAACTCTGTTTATAAGTACTGTATTTACAAAATGCTAATTTGCACTAGCGGGTCACCTAGCGGATGAAACACAAATTAGACAATGTTTATTCCTCTAACAAGTGCCTAGTTCTTGTTTCATCTTGTAGGTGACACGTAACTAGAACCCGGTGCTATTTAGTGTCACTTCTTTTTACCATAAATTATAAGTTTAATGGTACTTACGTACACAGTATTTTACATGTTACTGGCACTTACCTTCAAACTACATATATTTACAGCAAACTACAAATTAATGATACTTACATTTACGGTTACAGGCAAGTTAATGATATTTTTATTAGTAATATTTTTCAAGTAAAGAACACTTTCATTCATAGTAATATATAAGATGATTGTGTTATATTACAGTGATTAAAATCTAATATATTACTGAACTACGAATTAGACTCTTAATCTGAATCTTATCTAAATTTGAAATCTACTTAAACCCTTATCTGATTTTTTTTCTAAAGCTGAAATCTAAATCCTAATCTGAATTTGACAGCCTGGCGGAGTCGACACTTTAAACTCCAGCATGAACGTCATGAGGGTGACCTTTAAGACTCAAGGTCACACCCAAGCCAGAGGGTTTAGGGCACAATGGACCTCCGACGACCCCCAGGGTGAGTCAAGTCGTTTCTTATGCTTTCTTGGGGCTTAGTTGAGTCGTCCATTGATTCTTGACGATTCATTGAGTCTTTAGTTGTCCTTACACTTATTTGGTTCTAGTTGGGCGAATCATTTTTTTTCGGATGACTCGCAGATAAGTCGTTTATAGTCGCTCTTAAGATTTCTCGGTGTTTATTCAAGGTGAGTTGTTTAGTAGCAGTGGGTATTTAGTGGCAAGTACCACTAAGAAAACACTCAGACCTCTAACTGACGAAAATAACCAATGAAAACACAATCAGACACCGAACTGACGAATTTTTTGTGTTTCTCAGAGTGTGGTGGTGAGTTACCCTCCATCAGCGGACAATTGGCCTCCCCGGGGCTTCACAGCAGCTCCTATAACCACAGCCTCTACTGCGTGTGGACCCTGACCAATCCTCATCCCGAGAACTCCTCCTTCGTCGTCACCTTCACCTTCCTACACCTGGAGAGCCACTGCTTTGATTACGTCCTCATACAGGGAGGTAAATCTTCCTCCTCCTGTTTTTTCTCCGTCAGTGTACAAGGCTTTTGTTGTCCTTGACCTTCTTCGTTAATTGATAGTCATCTAATTTGTGTTACTCCGAACAGGTGACGTACGTAGAACAACACATAGCCTAACCTATGCTAAACCAAGTTAACGTAGGGTTGTGTTGCTCTTGTGAATGCCAGTTTAAGCTATCCTGAGCTAACCTAACCTAACTTAATCTAACCTAAACTCATCTAACCTAAGCTAACTTAACCCTCCCTCTTCACGCTAACTCTCCCTCTTCACCCTAACTCTCCCTCTTCACCCTACAGAGAACATCGAGGGAGAAGTGGAGAAGATACAAAGGGTCTGCAACGAACACAATCTGGCCCCCATCATTGTTCCTTACCAGACACTCAAGATCTCCTTCATCGTAAGTCTCTCTCTCTCTCTCTCTCTCTCTCTCTCTCTCTCTCATATAAAGTTAACTTCCTTGAGCATATGACCAAAAATCATACAATCAAATTCCTTTCTTTTCCCTAAAACTATTGTTTTAAAGTTCTGCATACTGTTTCATCCTCCTAAAATTATTCGTATCAACTCTCCCACTCCTAAAAAGGCTTCTGCGACTTTTCCTTTTAAATCATCTTCAGACTAACTAAGCCCCCTCTCATTCTACAGACGGACTCCTCGATCAACGCTACTGGATGGAACCTCACTTACGGGCTTGGACAGTGTGGTGGTACCTTGCATGGTCCTCAGAACGTGCTCACATCGCCCAGGTACCCGGCTCACTACTCCAACAACGTGCATTGTGCCTGGCTCCTGAACTACGGTGACGGGGAACAGATCGATGTAAGGCTGTATTGTGTTGTGGCTTGTTCTGTGTGTGTGTGTGTGTTTCAAGTTGTACAGGATGTTTGTCTAGAGCTAGAGTTTCACAGAACTGCCAATGGACTTTTAACAACTTGAGAATAAATGAGCAAACTCTTAACAGCTCAAGAGTAAACATTGAACACTGCTTTTTGTTTGCAGTTGGAGTTTACCAACTTCCGACTGGAGGACTCATACCACCATGACTACGTGGCCATACACAACGGGCCCAGGTTCACATCTCCTCTGCTAGGCCACTACACAGGGACCACCAGACCTGAACATCTCCGCTCCATGACGAACAACCTCCTGATTGAGTTCCACACTGATGACTCCGATAATGATCAGGGATTCAGGGCCGTTGCCTCCAGGCACACTAGAGGTAGGTGATATGGTGGTGTGATAGGGGGTAGCGAACGGACCCGGGTTCGATCCCTGGGCAGGGTGAAACTAGGAGCAAGTTTCTTACGCCATTTGCCTCTGTCTACCCAGCAGTAATTGAGAACCTGGATGTTAATCGATTTGCGGATCGTATTCCGGGGTAATGGTTAGCCAGTGCAGTTGGCGAGTTGTCCTGCAACTCGTTAACTTAAGGTGTGGTTGTTGTGTTGGCGACAGCTTCTACACCTTAAACAAATTCACGCCTAGGTGGCCCTTGGGCCGGCCATCCTCGATTTCGAGGGGTTTCCATTATTTATTTTAGATCATGGGTATTGCGACAGGGGATAGGTCATGTGTGTGTGTGTGTGTGTGTGTGTGTGTGTGTGTGTTCCAGAGAGCTGCAACACTCAAAAGGTTCAGCCATACCAATGTTGTTGATATCGCTTACTTTGCACTGTACTGTACCTGTATTTTTCTGGCTAAATAATCCATCTCCATACGAGCCTCAATATTTCACCACTTCAGGATGCGGAGGTGTGTTCCACGGGATGACGGGGAACTTATCCAGTCAACAGTTTCCCCAGGATTACCCCGCTAATACTGAGTGTGAATGGGAGATCGACCTACCTGCTGGTTACCACGTAGTTGTTGCCTTTGTTGACCGCTTCGATGTGGAGACCAGCAGCAACTGTGAGAACGACTATGTGCAGGTGAGTGACAATAATAACGATAAAAATAACAATAATAATAATAATGATAATTATAACGATGAAAACCATAGTAATAAATAGCATCATCATTATCATATCTATTTGCCCATTATTACACTTTTAATCTATCCAGTACAGTACCACGATTCACCACCCCACTTGCAGGTGTTCCAGTCTAATAACAGCGGCCCTCACACTCCGACGATGTGGTTTGGACAGAACAAGTTGTGTGGGAAACAGGCTCCTCTCCCTGTCACCTCCACAGGCAGTCGAATAAAGCTCCTTTTCCACAGCAATGACGCAGTGCAGGGCAAAGGCTTCAAGGTATGATCTAATAAGGATTCATCATTAGGCCTTTAAGAGGTTTCAAATGTATGTTACGTAAATTTTAAAGTATGTTTTAATAATAGTCTTCATAGTTATATCTTTCATAAGTTTCAAAGGTGCTTTCATAGGCTCAAAGATACTGTACGTTAGGTGAGCTTCAAGGTATGCTCTAGGTCTCAAAATACTGTAGTACTGTTGACTTCATGGTGGAAATTGAGAATTCTCTATTCTAACATTTTCACGAAAGGTGTGTGTTTTAATAAAAATTAACTGTTTATTGAAAAAAGTTCAGCAGCCCGAAAGCTGAAAATATACATTGAACAGAAATTACTTATTACATACAAAGACATGGGGTAGGTGTTTAACAAAAGCTTTCATTACTAAAAGGAGAAGGAACATGAATTGAACTTACAAATTATAGTTTACAGTTGATGGGCCAGGCTGGTCTCTTGCCCTACTGTGTGAGGTCACGTAGGCCACGTGGTCCAGTAACTCGTCCGTAAATGTTGATACGAAGGACCTTACGTGGTCATGACGAACACGGGGTGTTGCGGTGTTTTCGTTCTGTAGTGACTCGTTGTTGTTGTTGAGATTGTCGGACCGTAGTCCGACACGGGCCTTTGCCTGTAGGCGGCCCGTTTGGTGGTTCCGGCTGGAGCTCCTGGAGCAGCCAGACCGGATTTAGGATTTTGAGGTTGTCCTACCTGCAGATCGGAAAGGATACTGCAGGTTGCAAGTGTGAGCGGACCCTCGGTCAGTGAGCGCTTACCACCAACCCCCACTCTTGGACGTGGTCAGTTTCGGAGTGGCGAGGCCCCGGAACTGGGGTCCGCACTTGCTGGGGGAGGATACTTCCTAAGCTATCTGGGTGGTGGGTATCGTGTGATGACCCGGAGAAGGTGGTGAATGTGGTTTGTTTGGGCCTTTCGGGTTAGAGTGGCCGCTGGTGTGTGTTCTTCTTGGAAGTTTTGAATTCTGTTTCGGAGACTTTGTGTGACTTCTCAGTCGAGGAGATAGTGTTCCAGTGGGTTGGCCGCTGGCTCCTGACAGTAGGTGCATTCCCTGACGACATTTCCGATCATCTGCCAGGAGCACTTGTACCCTAGTCGTAGTCGATGAAGGCTAACTTGGGTTTGTCTTGGTGGTTTCTTGTCCGCGAAAGGTGGTTCCCCTTTTGTGGCCGCCAGGTACCATTTGGCTGATTGGGAACCAGAGTTGAATGCGTGAAGGAAGCTCTTTTGGACGAGGAGCTTGGTAGTTTTTCTGAGGTGATTCTTGATCTGTTGCACGCTTGCTGGAACTTGAATGTGTACGCTTCTAGAACATGTGGCTGCCTTGGCTGCTTCGTCTGCCACGTCGTTTCCCCCGATCCCTACATGACTGGGAATCCAGTGTAAGACGACTGGGCGATTTTGTCTTTGGAAGTCCTGTAGCTGTGCGAGGATCGAGGTTATGATGTGGACGTTTCCTCTTGGTTGACTGTGTTGCAGCGCCTGCATGGCCGTTTTCGAGTCCGTGTGAATTATGATGGACTTGTTGTGTTGTGTTGCCGCGTGTTGTAGGGCCTTTGAGATTGCTACCAACTCTGTTTGTAGGGTGGAGCAGTCATTAGAAAGTCTCCATAGGAGAGTCTGACCTTGGGTGTAGAAGGCCGCTCCGGATGTATGATGCTTTGGGTCCACCGAGCCGTCTGTGAAGTACGATGCTGCATCAGCCGGTGTCTCGGTGGCTATGGCTTCCAGAGTTATTCTTTTGAGGTCCTCCTTCTGGAGGTTGGCTTTGCTATCACGTAGTTCGGTAATTTTGGATGTGGCTGGTGGAGGGCTCCATGGTGGAGGAACAACGTAACCATTGTCTCGTGTGTCTTGGTTGTTCTTGACGAGTGTTTCTGCTTGCAGGTGTCGGATGACCTCGCTTGCCTCGTGCGACCAGGTGGCCCCTCGCACTCTGTGATCGAGGTGGAGGGAGGCACTGATTCGCGTTTTGGCAGCTATGGGCTTATCTGATCTACAGATTTTGGCGAGGAGCCCGGCTGTCACCTGCTTGACTCGTACTGCCAGGGGTGGTAGTTCAGTTTCCATTTGCAAATTGCAAATTCTGGTCCACATGGGTGCTCCGAGCATGGTCCTGAGAGCATTATTTTGGATAACTTCTAGCTTAGCTATCTGGTCTTCTCTCAGTCCAATGACTAATGGAGCACTGTAATCTACCAGCGATCTGATGGCGGCCGTGTAGTAGGCTTTGAGCACATGAAGGTTCGCTCCTGCGGTTGTGCTGGTGAGCGACCTCATTATATTGTGTCTGCTCTTCGTCCTGTGCCCGAGATACTCGAGTTGCGGCTTGAAAGTGAGTTTCTGGTCGAACCAGATTCCAAGACACTGGTGGGTGTTGGTCCAGACTACCGGCGAGTTTTGTATGGAGAGCATCTTGTCTGGTGTGTCTGTGCAGATGGCCATCGCTTTCGACTTGGCTGGATTTATCTTGAGTCCAAGTCTGTTGCACTCCTCCTCTACAATTTGGAGTGCGTGTTGCGTGTTGGCTAGTCTGTTTGCTCCTCTTACTATGAGCTGTAAGTCGTCTGCATAGCAGAGAAGCTTGGCTGTTTGTCTGAAAGGAAGTCTGACTAGATTTTCCATCAGGACATTGAACAGCGTTGGACTGAGGATGCCTCCTTGTGGGGTTCCGTTTTCATGGACCCTGTAGCTCCCTGAAAGCGTACTCTTGCTTCTCTCTGAGTGAGGTAGTTCCGGATCCACCCCAGCAACCTTCCTTTGACACCTTTTTCTGCGAGCGTCGTTAAAATGGCCAGTGGATTTGCTAGTTCGAAGGCCTTCTCCAGGTCGAGGATGACCACCAAAGCTGGTTTATTGTCCACTGTGCTGAGTATCTCGGCGATGTTGTTGCCTGTGCCGGTGTTCTCGGTGTAAGCAAAAATGTGAGGGTGTGGGCTGCCTACTTTCCACTTGAGTCTGTTGAGAGCCATTCTTTTCCCCGTCTTCGCTATGCAGCTGAGAAGGGAGATGGGTCTCAGTTTGTCTGGTTCTCTGGGCTTCGGAATGAGCTGTATATCTGCCTTCTTCCATTCCGGTGGAAGTCTTTCTGCTGTCCACGAAGTATTGATGACTTGTAGCAAAGCCTCGTGTCCGGCTCCTCCGGCATGGGTAAGCATGGAGTAGGTTATCCTGTCGGCCCCTGGTGCTGTGTCCTTGCTTCGTTTTATCGACTTCTGGAGTTCTTGCTGGTTGAAGGGTCTATCGGTTTCATCTTCACTGTTGCATGCATCTTCGGGCATCTGGAGTCTGACCTGTCGCAGACGCCGTTGTGTCTCCTCCGCATGTCTCGGGACGTTTTTCGTTGCTGCTCGGTCAGAGAACAGTTTTGCAAGTCTCTCGGCTTCCTCTTCTGGGTTGGGATGGGTTGGTGGTGGTGGTGGTGTTGCCTTCCCAGATGCCCTTCGGATCTGGGCCCACATTTTGCCGAGGGAGGTGTGCTCGTTCAGTTCGGAGCACCACTTGAGCCAGCTTACACTTTTGATTTCTTCCTTCTCTTCCATGGGTTTTAACTTAAGAACATAAGAATGGAGGAAACTGCAGCGGGCCTATTGGCCCATACTGAGTAGTCCTATTTACACCCAACCCCTAGCGCTCAGATATCCATCCAACCTATGTTTGAAGCTATCCAGCGTATTCGAGTTAATGATGATGTTTGGTAACTTGATACACTCATCCATTACTATATTTCCAAACCAATGTTTACCTATTTCGCACCTAAATATAAATTAGTCTAATTTAAAACCATTGTTACGAGTTCGCTCCTGGTTGGATAGTTTGAGTACCTTTGTTATATCACCTTTGTTTAGCCCTGACTTCCATTTATACACCTCGACCAAATCGCCCCACACTCTACGTCTCTCGAGGGAGTGCAGATTAAGATGCTTTAACCTGTCTGTCCTCAAGGTTTCTAATGCCCGGGATTAGTCTTGTCATACTCCTCTGAATTCTTTCTAGGGATTCTTTATCCATTCTGTAGTACGGTGACCAGTCCTGAACTGCGTAATCCAAGTCAGGTCTCACAAGCGCAAGATATAGTTTTAGGATGACCTCGCTAGTCTTGTAACTAACACTCTTTTGTATGAACCCAAGTACTTTGTTAGCCTCTTTTGAGCAAATACACATTGTTTACTAAGCTTAAGATCCCTACTTATCATTACTCCTAAATCTTTCTCACAGTCGGATTTCTCTATAACATAGTAGTTCATCTGATATCTTGTTTCTCTGTTTACATCTCCTAGACTAAGTACTTTACATTTGTCCACATTAAATTTCATCTGCCATTTTTCAGACCATTCGAAAAATTTGTTTAGAGCTTCGTGTAGGAGTCATATCAGATTTAATACACGCCCTATTTTAGTGTCATCAGAAAATTTACTTACGTTGCTGTCTACGCCGATATCTATGTCGTTTATGTATATAATAAATAATAATGGTCCAAGTACTGAGCCTTGGGGTACTCCACTAGTGACGTTACTCCCATCAGATTTAGTGCCGTTAATACTTACTCGCTATTTCCTGTCCTGTAACCACGCCCTAAGCCATTTAAGAATATCTCCTCCAATTCCATGAGCCTCCACTTTTCGTATTAGTCTTTCGTGATGGACTCTGTCGAAGGCTTTACTAAAGTCAAGATATACCACATCATAGTCGTGTCCCTCGTCCACTGATTCGAAAACAGCAGAAAAGAATATGCCTTCAATTGATGTTAAACTGATTGGACGGTAGTTAGAGGATAGTGATCTATATCCCTTCTTGAAAATAGGTATTACTTACTCTATCCTCCATGGAGACACAGTAGTAGGGTGGTCATAGAGACACAGGGTGGTGTGGGGTGGAGTCACAGTACCGCAGTCTCTAAGTGGTGTTGTTATCGTGGGGTGTAAAGCCGACCCATGGTTGTTCCCAGTGTGGACTGATTAACACCGCCTGGTCAGAAGACGGTGGCCAATTCCCAGGGGTGCTTATCTCACTGGTGGGTCACGGCTCTCACTGGTACTGTCTAGTGCTGAATTCACTGGCTTAAACACTGTTCATCACTGTTTAACACCGATCCCACTTCGTTCAGAAACGAAATTATCACTTTTGATTATGTTGATATCCCGGTGGTGAGGATGGGTCGGGGAGAGGGACTAGGGCAGTGGTTCTCAACCTTTTTCACTCCATTCCCCCCTTGAGGAATTTTCAACATCCTCGTGGCCTCCTTCATTTTTCTCCCAGAACAGACAAACAGACAAGTGATAAAGACTAAAGAATGATAAAGAAGGACAGATAAATAGGACAAGAGTTAGAATGGCAAACATACACACACATTCACATACATAACACGCCCATGCACTCAAACATAAAGCACACATACAGTCATACACAAACATGCATACAGGTAAACATTCACAATCGAGCTAGCAAGCTGAAGCGTACTTCCTGTAAGCAAGAACACGCCTCCTTTGACAAGCACTGCCCAACTTGGAAGAATGAGAAAAATAGTGAGTCATACCAATTTAGCACTAAAAATGGTAGGATTATATAAGTAAAAAATGAGTATGAACAACAATGGCACCAATAAATAAGGAAATAATAATAAAGGAAGTGTACAAATATTTCACCCACGTAAAGCAGCGACCACATGAATTATGAAACAAAATAAGTAACACCAATTACGGAGTATATTATGCTTGAGTCAAGCTCAAACACAATATATAGTTCAGAGACAATACACTCCACTGTTTTCATGATGGTATCCCAGGCCAGACTGAGATCATTCTGCCCTATCACCACTTTCAAAGGGATGACACCGACAGTACTGAACAAGTCAGTTCAGCAGCTCAGTCCAGCGCCTCTCACACAGACAGGGACTGGACCTGTGAAATCTTAAATAATCCGTAAAAAAAAAAAATAGCACCAGAGTTTGTAAATATTAAAATTGTATTGTCGTTATGATTAAACAAAATGACAAAACAAGAATGAAAATTCTCTTCTGTCAAGTCAAAATAAGTAATACAAGTTTTGTTTAATTCAGATTCCCAACATTATTTGGAAACGTACAATTTATAACAGCTCGCCGTGGCTCCCCTAAATTCTTGCCGTGGCTCCCTTGGGGGCCATGGCCCCCAGGTTGAGAACCACTGGACTAGGGGAATGGAAATTAGCAGGAGTGGTCAAGCATGTAGTGTGTGTGTGTGTGTGTGTGTGTGTCACGCTAAATGGAGATAATCACCGGTTAAGACTTAAAAAGCAATTGAAGTGTTTGTCTAATAGGGATAACTTTTTGTCATTAATGCTGTAATTCAATGGAAAATAATTCGTATCTGGTAAACTTGGCTGTTTCCTTTTAGACGTCGTTTACTATCATAAGATTTTTAGATTATATCTAAAATCATTTATGACCAATCAAGAAATAATGCCTCGACACTATTCTGACGTTCGTCTTGATACTTCCAAAATGTTCTATACTACTGAAGGTATACACAAACACTTGTTATCTTAAAAGTAGGTTCTTATTCTCGTACGGGAGATATATATACAGAGGGACCAAGAAGCTCGCTTCCGCACTACAAGGACTGACTGTCTTCACTCTATGTATTACTGCGCGCTTGGATGTACAGATGCCAGCATTCACAAGCTGAATACATAAAGTATAAATATGATAATTTATTTACATAACATGGTGCACAATAAATGGGAATATTACATAGAATTAATACATGTTCTGTAATACTTTACTATACATAATTAATAAGAGTAATATAAGTATACACAGCTTAAGGTACTACTTCGTGTCCATATCATACAACTATAAAACACCCTAACACCATAAAACACCCTAACACCATAAAACACCCTAACACCATAAAACACCCTAACACCATAAAACACCCTAACACCATAAAACACCCTAACACCATAAAACACCCTAACACCATAAAACACCCTAACACCATAAAACACCCAAACACCATAAAACACCCTAACACCATAAAACACCCTAACACCATAAAACACCCTAACACCATAAAACACCCTAACACCATAAAACACCCTAACACCATAAAACACCCTAACACCATAAAACACCCTAACACCATAAAACACCCAAACACCATAAAACACCCAAACACCATAAAACACCCAAACACCATAAAACACCCAAACACCATAAAACACCCAAACACCATAAAACACCCTAACACCATAAAACACCCTAACACCATAAAACACCCTAACACCATAAAACACCCTAACACCATAAAACACCCTAACACCATAAAACACCCTAACACCATAAAACACCCTAACACCATAAAACACCCTAACACTATAAAACACCCTAACACTATAAAACACCCTAACACCATAAAACACTCCTAACACCATAAAACACCCTAACACTATAAACACCCTAACAATTACAAAACACCCTAACACCATAAAACACCCTAACACTATAAAACACCCTATAAAACACCCTAACACCATAAAACACCCTAACACCATAAAACACCTCAACACCATAAACACCCTAACACCATAAAACACTCCTAACACCATAAAACACCCTAACACCATAAAACACCCTAACACCATAAACACCCTAACACCATAAAGCACCAACACCATAAAACACCCTAACACCATAAAACACCCTAACACCATAAAAACACCCTAACACCATAAAACACTCCTAACACCATAAAAAATACTCCAATACTATAAAACATCTAACACCATATAAAAACATCTTCTAACACTATAAAAACAATTCCTAACAATTCATAAAAACACCTAACACCATAAAACACCTGAACACCATAAAACACCCTGAACACCATAAACACCCTAACACCATAAAACACCCTAACACTCCATAAACACCCTAACACCATAAAACACCCTAACACCATAAAACAATTCTAACATTATAAACCCTAACACCATAAAACACCCTAACACCATAAAACACCCTAACACCATAAAACACCCTAACACCATAAAACACCCTAACACCATAAAACACCCTAACACCATAAAACACCCAAACACCATAAAACACCCAAACACCATAAAACACCCAAACACCATAAAACACCCAAACACCATAAAACACCCAAACACCATAAAACACCCTAACACCATAAAACACCCTAACACCATAAAACACCCTAACACCATAAAACACCCTAACACCATAAAACACCCTAACACCATAAAACACCCTAACACCATAAAACACCCTAACACCATAAAACACCCTAACACCTAAACACCCTAAAACATAAAACACCCTAACACCATAAAACACCCTAACACCATAAAACACCCTAACACCATAAAACACCCTAACACCATAAAACACCCTAACACCATAAAACACCCTAACACCATAAAACACCCTAACACCTAAACTGTATTTGATGGTTATTGGACGTTCCTCAGGTCTCTTGGGTGACCCACTGCGGCAGGAACTACACCAATCCCACTGGCTATATCGTGTCACCTGGTCACCCCGATGTGTATCCGCCAAACACCAATTGCGAATTTCGGATCCTGGCATCACCGCAACAGTTCGTCACCATTCACTTCTTCTCTTTCGTCATGGAGCGTAAGGCTTTAATGACTTTCTCATTTATACGCTGGATATTGAATGGATGGTTGACCTCCTGTATATAATATTATTTGTTTTTTACAGATACGATAATCGGAAATTCTGAATAAATGACTTATTATACTCTAAATTACTTCTCTGATGATTCAAACTTATCTCTAATTCTTGAAACTTGTATATATATATAATACTCAAGAATTATATCTAATACTCCAGACTTATATACAATACTCCAGACTTATATACAATACTCCAGACTTGTACATAATTCTCCAGACTTATATATAATACTCCAGACTTATATATAATACTCCAGACTTGTATATAATTCTCCAGACTTATTTCTAGTACTCCAGATTATCTCTAGTACTCCAGACTTATATATAATACTCCAGACTTATATATAATACCCCAGACTTATATCTAATACTCCAGACATATATAATACGCCAGACTTATCTCTAGTACTCCAGACTTATATATAATACTCCAGACTTATATATAATACCCCAGACTTATATCTAATACTCCAGACATATATAATACTCCAGACTTATATCTAATACTCCAGACATATATAATACGCCAGACTTATCTCTAGTACTCCAGACTTATATATAATACTCCAGACTTATCTCTAGTACTCCAGACTTATATATAATACTCTAGACTTATCTCTAGTACTCCAGACTTATATATAATACTCCAGACTTCTCTCTAGTACTCCAGACTTTTATATATATATATATATATATATATATATATATATATATATATATATATATATATATATATATATATATATATATAAAATACTCCAAACGAACATTTAATAGTCTAAACTGATTTTTCTACTCCAAGATATTATCCAAGTACTCCAAACTAATCTTTTTCTCCCAGCTGGTACTAACTGCATGTTCGACTCGCTGGAGGTGGTGAGCTACGGAAGTTTGAGTTACTTTAGGCCGAGACGATTGACCACAACAATGGGGCCTTACTGTGGTCGAAACGAGCCTCCGAATGTGTTGACGACTCGAGGTACAACGGTCCTTCGCTTCCGTTCAGATTACTCGGTACAGATGACAGGCTTCGTGGCTAACTACAGCGTCTCAGGTCGGTTGGTTGTTATTGTTTTTGTTTTGTTTTTTAAAGGAGTAGCGTAGAAGTATCATTCTTGAGAGAGAGAGAGAGAGAGAGAGAGAGAGAGAGAGAGAGCATTTCCGATCCAGATGAGCCATTACGTCGCGATGACGTCATTTTTTACTTACAATAGGCTGTGGAGGCAACATGACCGCTCCAGGGATCATTGAACTGCCTACGAGACCAACTTATCATAACCACATGGCCTGCACTTGGTACATTACGGCCCCGTCCGGCAAGGTTCCGCATTTCAAGTAAGTACCTATGTTACGACAAGAGAGACAGAGAACAACAGTAACATATCCCCTGAATACTGTGTACTATACCTAGTGTACCGTGCTAATACCACTTCAACCCACTCAAACAGATTCCAAATGCTTGACGTGGAGCCATCAAGGCGATGCCATTACGACAAACTCAGCATTTACAATGGTCATACAACACAGGAAGAGAAGCTGCTGAGACGCTTTTGCGGGGACCACACGGAGTCGCTGCCAACTGTTGTGACTCAAGAGCAAGAGGCCACGGTGCAGTTCACAACCGACCACAGTGTTACCGGACAGGGACTCAAGATTGCTTTGGAATTCTCTTATGGTAGGTCGTGACAGTAGCCTTGGAGTTCACTTACGTTAGGTCGTGACAGTAGCCTTGGAGTTAATTTACATTAGATCGTGACAGTAGCCTTGGAGTTTACTTACATTAAGTCGTGACAGTAGCCTTGGAGTTCACTTACATTAGGTCGTGACAGTAGCCTTGGAGTTCACTTACAGTAGGTAAACATATAGTGCTTTAGTTTCCAACGGTAATATGATGTGGAGCTACATTATATATTATGTATTACAGGAATATCTCCAAATTGAATTGTTCATGCGACATATGAGGCAAGTTGATATGAAGAAATCTCAGGACACTCAGTACTCTGTGGGATTTAAGAACTAGGTTGTATATGAGAACACTCCACAGGATGAACTAATGATGAGATTTCTAAGGGAGATTAACTGAAGGAACCCACTAATTTCAGTTTACTTTTTAAATCTATGGGATTAATCTTCAGGTGATCCTATAAATGTAAGATTAATAATGGTTCTTCCTCTAAGTAGATAATATATGTTTGTTGCAGCCTGTGGTAGCAACGTCAATATCTCATACGAGGGGGCGTCTCAGACCATCCGTTCCCTCGACTTCAATAGTGATGGTAAGGGAAAGTACCCTTCAGTTTCCTCCTGTTGTGAAAGACATCAGTATGTGTTTTTATGTCTGATACATCTTTGTTGGTATGTTTATTAATGTCTTCTAAGCAACAAATGATGTAAACTCATAATTCATGTCTTTCTCTGTACCCTTGTCATGTTTCCTCGTGTCTGATATTCTGCTGATGCTTGATGCTTATCTCTAGGAACCTTCCATCTCGCCAAATGCGCCCCAGTTCCAACATGGGGCGCCCCGGTCTTAATAAACACCAGTTCTAATAGCATCCCAACATAATCTAACCTAATCATGCACCGAGGTCTCATTATGATTGGACCCATTCCCCACCACGCCCGTGAGGTTTCTGGACTATTGCGAAGGGGGCCTACCTGGACTGGGGTCCATTAAGATTGGGCCAATTTGCATAAGACCCTTTTAGAACTTGGGATTTCTTTGAATTCGAGTCTATTAGATACGAGACCCATTCGAACTTAGTCTTGTATTGGGGCCCATTGGACCAAGTTACTTTGTGTACCTGAGTATAAGGTGACTCGCTAAACATTTTTCTCGACAGGTAACTATGAGCCCATGTTGGACTGTCAGTGGCTGGTGAGAGGCCAACCAAATCATGTGGTGACGTTAAACTTCACCAGGCTGGATCTGGAGCCTCCGGGAGCCAACGATACAATACCTTGTCCTTACGATAGTGTAGAGGTACGTAATTTTATGGTGTTATGTCCTGCCCTTACGATACCAACTCCTGCCCTTACGATACCAAGTCCTGCCCTTATGATGGTATTTATTCACAGATTGAAATGGTGTTTGTGAGTCAACGTTATTATTATTCCTGCCTGGCATAATGATAAAGTCTCTCTATCTCTGTATGAGCTTTCATTTCTCTTGCACACAGGTTAGGGACGGGCCATCTATTGCTTCGCCGCTGATCGGTGTGTTCTGCAATGCTTCAACTTCTCCCCCTACCGTCTCCTCTTCGTCCGATGTAATGTTCGTCCGACTCCTCACTGACAGTGTCAACCAGCGAGTCGGCTTCACTGCCACTCTCACCAACACCCCACGTAAGGCGACCAGTCTTAGGTTAAGTTAGATTAAGTTTGTGTAGATTTTGTTCGGTTATGTTACCTTAACTAAGTTAGATTGTTAGATTAGTTTGAGTTAAGCTAGGTTGGGTTGGTTTAGGTTTAGTAAAGTTTGCTTTGGTTAGATTACGTTAGATTTGGTTAAGTTAGGTTAAGATAGGTTAGGTTAGTATAGATTTGACTCATTTAGGTTAGGTTAAAATATTTGGCTAACTTCGGTTAAGTTTGGTTTGGTTAGGTTGGTTTGATAGGTTAGGTTACATTAAATTTAGTTAGGTTAAGTTAAGCTGGGTCAAGTTAGGTTAGAATAGGCTAGGTTAGGTTACGTTACGTTTGGCTCAGGCTATATTAGGTTCGTTTGAATCTTTAAAAATCAACTTGAACGATTCTAACTTTCTCCTGTAACGTCTGACCTCTCTCTCTCTTCCATGACCTTGTCGTGACCCAGATCCATGTGGGGTGTCAGGTCTACAAGCCACGAATGAATCCCAGGTGATTCAGACCCCAGGATATCCTTATCAATATCCCGTTAGTACCCGCTGCAAGTGGGTCATCACGGCGCCCGAGGACCAGGACATCGAAATTGAGGTTGAGGATCTGAGACTTGAGTCATCTCTGAAATGCGTCAAGGATCGGCTCTATGTATCTGACTATGACCCGGTGAGCATTAAACTCCTAATTGGTTAAGAATGCAGGTGACCCTCTCAAGCTGTTTTCCTTCAATACCTTCAATTATAACTCGTCGATTTGATTTTTTTTATGTAATTTCAATGTATTGTTTTTCTCCTATCAAACACACCTAACTTTAAATATACTTGAAGATATGCATTGACATCTCAAAATTAGGTGTATCGAGTCTTGCCTACATGCACGTTGATATGGAAGAGAGAGAGAGAGAGAGAGAGAGAGTCCATAATTTGACATTTTCTATCTCCACAGAATGAGTCGAGTTCTTTTCAAATCATGCCGGGAAATTCTCGATATACACACAACATTGGAGGCCGACGTGTCTACTGGCTGGTTAGTATAGCTTCGGTGGTGGTGGTTTGTGAGTGTACCTGTGTGCTCTTGTACCTTGTGTCGTGTCGCACCTTTGTGATATTGTTCCTCCATGATGTTTGTGTGTTTACAGAGCCCTTCCTTGATGTTTGTGTTTGCAAAGTCCTTCCTTGTTGTTTGTGTTTACAGTCAGCCCTCTTAATGTCTGTAAACACAAGCCTCAAAGGCAAGGGGGGGTGAACGCTGTAAACACAAACATCAGGGGATTATGTAAAACACCCAATACACACACACACACACACACACACACACACACTTCCAACCTCTTTTTGTTCACAGTCTAACAAGCTGGCCCATGCTTACTGCGGCACCACCATCCCTCACAACATCTTCTCAACCACCAATGCCATGGAACTTCGCTTCGTTAGTGATGGAGAAACTGTCGCCCAAGGCTTCCGGATTCGCTATTCTCTTGGAAGTGAGTTGGTGCCGTCCTTCTCTCCCTATATACTGTATGTATGCGCTGTTGTCTACTTGTGTACTGTACATTACTCGCATTTCGTATCTGATCTTATTCAGTATCGTCACTTAGAAATCTATGTACCTATACTTATATCTGTGGGTTTTGTTTATCCTTGTTGTTTCAAAGTTTATGTACTTCAACGCGCATTATTATTTCGAAAAAAATATGTCCCTATATTCGACACCTTACTAGTATGTGCACTTTTTTTTTAAATACAATATATTTACTGTATTTGGATACGTAATTGAAATCCTCTTTGTTATTGCAAAATTCTTGTATCTAAGCCTATTTCAAAGTGTGTGTGTGTGTGTGTGTAAATAATAACAATAATAATAATTAACGGTTTATTGAAAGAACTTGGCAGCCAGAAGGCTGAAAATATACAGTTACATATTTGGGGAATGGGTTTCGAATTACAAAAAATATACAAGTAACATAAGTGATATAAATAAGATATATAATAACTAGATGGGGAAAAGCTCAAACTACAGTGCATTTCAACATAGTGACCGTGCAAGGAGTAGTGTTTACTGGGAGTGAATACATTGGTCTATTACAAGTTATTGATAATTTTTACAATGGTGTGTGTGTGTGTGTGTGTGTCGATACCTGTAGTTGCACTTGACTTGCCATAAAGAATTGCATAACTGGATCAAATTAACTTTTTTCTTTTCTTCCCCTACTCCTCTTCCTCGCCTCACCTCACCATCCCTCACAGCTTGCAACAGGACCTACAACGGGTCATCAGGGAACGTCTTCTCACGTAGAAGATCAAGTTGCTTCTCCACCTTTGTCGCGCCGGCGGGCAGCTTCATTAACCTGTACTTTAGTGGCTTCGCGACCTCGACTTCCCACGGCCAGGGTTGTTCGGACGACAGATCTCTGAAGGTGAGCTCGTGGTGGTTTATATGAAAATGGGGTGTGCATAGATGGATTCTGAATGTTTCCGTTGTATGTATGCATTATACATTAATGTGATCTAAATGTTTCAGTTTTATATGTATAAATAATACAGTACGTGGATAAGTTCTTTTGTAATGATGTATACATATTAAGTGGTTCTGAGATTTCACTAGGGAGGTACTGGTATTATACCATGATCAAATTACCTGTCAGTATATGAGTATTTTCTGTTACAGGTGTTTGACGGTGCTGATTCTTCAGCTACTCTCTTACTGCATGCGTGTGGCTACAGTCTCCCAGCGCCCGTCTTCTCGACAAGCAACTCCCTACATCTCGAATTCAGACCTAGCAGCTGGGACTACTTCCGGTTAAACTATGCGACCTCTACCCAGAGTAAGATCTCCAGCATTTATACCTACTTGCTCTCTCTCGTTTCATTTGACTGTTAAGTAAATTATCTTCACTGTTTTTAGAAATATTGATCACAGACAATAAGTCACCAAAATCTTGCACATGTTACACATTCTGTGAATATTACCTAAGTGAAAGTTATAGCAGGTTTATATATATATATATATATATATATATATATATATATATATATATATATATATATATATATATATATATATATATATATATATATATATATATATATATATATATATATATATATATATATATATATATATATATATATATATATATATAAGACGCGCTGAATATTCGTAATATATATTCATTTTGGTTCATTACTGGCAGGTGGTGGATGCGGCGGTGCCCTTTTCTTCAGAAGATGGGGCTATGTGACCAGCCCCGGGTACCCTGGTCCAGCGTCTCCAGGGCTAGACTGCATGTTCAGCCTGAGCACCACCCCAGATGTCCATATCCTTCTCAGATTCCGTAAGTCTCATTAATAAATTTTGTGGTGGTCGTGAACCATTACTTAATTACTACTACTACTACTTAATTACTTCTACTACCACCACTACTACTATTACTATTATTGTTACTACAGTAAGTGTTGATACTCTTCAGGATCAACGGACTTCGGTGGATCTGATGGCTGCAATAATACCTTCCTTGAGGTGTATGACGTCACTGCTACCGGCGACACCCCACTAGTGATCACTTTGTGTGGCCAGGTGAGTGTTATACCATCCCCTAATGAAGATAGATAGAGGAACTCCTGCCTCTGTGTCGTGAAGATTGTGTGTGTTTAATAATCTTCTTTCCCCTCACACAGGAGAACGTGGCATTACACTTCGCTCCAAGCAACAAGATGGCGCTACGTTATGTAACAGGCAACGGCAACATAACGGGACAGGGCTGGTTGGCAAGAATAGATGTCGGCGACCCTCACGAGTCCGAAGGTGAGTGCCACAGGTAGACCAGTGCCACAGGTACACTGCAGTGTCTCGTTAATTAACCTATCGTGGAAGCCTCGCCGGTAATTTCACAGCCATTTTTTGTTTTTGTTTTTTACTGTTTAACATTAATCTTTTTTGAGTAATATCCATCCATCCATCCATCCATCCATCTATCCATTCATCCATCCATCCATCCATTCATCCATCTATCAATTCATCCATCTATCAATTCATCCATCTATCAATTCATCCATCCATCCATCCATCTATCCATTCATCCATCCATCCATCCAAACTGTCTGTTGATCTGTCACACGATATATCTAATTATCCATCTATCTGTCTAATTATCCATCCATCCAGCTGGCAATGAACTTAATTATTCCTTTAACTTTTTATTTTCAGTTTTTGACATTGACTCATCCACGCAGGAGGAGGAAAGCACCGAGTCATCTTTGTGAGTCAGTTGGTTGTGAGTCATCAGCTAATATACTATAGTGCGAATAACATACCAATAACTCACCTGACCTATTAATTACTCGCCTGGCCTATTAGTGACTCGCTTGATCTATTAATCACTCACTTGACCTGTTAATAACTCCCCTGACCTGTTTGTGACTCACCTGACCTGTTAGTGATTTACCTGACACATTAATAACTCCCCTGACCTATTAATAGCTCACCTGGCTTCTTAGTGACTCACCTGACCTGTTTGTGACTCACCTGACCTGTTTGTGACTCACCTGGCCTTTTAGTGACTCACCTGACCTGTTTGTGACTCACCTGACCTGTTTGTGACTCCTCTGGACTCTTAGTGACTCGCCTGGTCTTCAGTGTTGTTGAGGAAGACTTAAGTGCTCTGACTTCGACTACTGCACTAGTGAGACAATAATCAGCACTGCACTTAACTAATATAACCACTAAGATTCCCTATAACAACAAAGATGATATAATATTTGTGTTCCAATTATATGTAAAGTTGTTTGACCTCGTTATTAGTATTATCGTGGTTATTTTTATATGTGAATTATAATATGGTTGTAATTATTATTTCCGTTTGAAGTGGTAGTTTTATATTCTATTTCTTGTAGATGTAAATGTTCATTTCAGTAACAAATTGAATAATAAATAAAATCGAATGAAATTTTATGTGATTTCTTTCATCCTTTTATTTCTCTCAGGTATGTGTGTGTGTGTGTGTGTGTGTGTGGAGGGGGGTGTGTGTGTGTGGAGGGGTGTGTGTGTGTGTGTCCGTCCCTTCGACTACAGAACAACAAGACGGCTGAGTCGAGGTGGAATGAAGACAGCCACTCCGTAGTTACCTGTGTCAGTCTCATACTTTGTTTATATATTATCTACCTACAGTACACAGTGTCAGTCACAGTACCGTATCTATCAGACGACCGAACAATGGAGAGTCAACAGGATTATGGTGAGTTATAACGCAAACTGTACATAACATAGAGGAGCTTATTGATAGAGTGGTGGGTAGTTAGATATAGTTGATACAATAGACTCTTCAAAATATCATCGAAGGCTTATGATGTTTAATTTTCTCTAATTTGTTGCTTTACTGTGTGCAATTTTTTCAAGGGACAGCATGGAAGAAGAGCAGGATATAGAATGTTTTTGTGTGTGTGATAACCTATTTAAGTTTACCATTAAAGATGACTAAAGTTTGAGATACAGTTTTCTTTAATACAATATTCTTTGACCGGTAACTAATAAAAGAATTGTGGGACGCTAAAGAGTACAATTTTCTTACAAAAGAGGGCGAACCAAGTCAAATAAAAAGGCACTGTATACTAGGTGAAGACATCATACGATTGCTTCAAGGTAATTTTGAAGATAATGTGACCCACTCTTGGTACTGGCGTCTGTAGTTGATGTAGAGAAAGTTTATTGCTTGTGTTAATGGGTGGGAGGGCAGGAATTCTAGGCTGGTATTGGGGGAAGGGGGGCAAGGGATTGAATTAGGTGAGGATAAGATAAAGGAAGAAAAGTAGAAGAATGACAGTATCCGGTGTCAACCAGATATACTGTAACTTAAGATTAAATAATGTACTTGAATAGTGAGGATAGTATTTAACCTGTAGCTTTGTGGCCTCTGTCTTGGAATTGGACTCTAACCCTGTTTTGTAGTAGCCAATATTCAAGATTTCTTATTGGTGTTGGCTGACTACCGTATCTTTGGTTTTAATGGAGGTGAAAGGACGGGGCAAGAAGGGATAGAGAAGCCAAGGATTGTGTCAGTTAGTCACTCATCTTTTACGATTTTTTTTTTTTTTTTTTTTAAGAATTTGTTTTTGTTTTTAAGATGGAGAATGAATATGGGGGGATTCAACTTGCTACTCTGGTTCAAAAGAAAGTGATCCATCTTATTTATTTAATATAGACGATGTAAATTTGTGTTGATAATATTTTATTTGTTACATTAAATTTTTTAAATTGTTACTATATACTACTTTATTAACCTTGTTTTATAGTTATTAGTTGTATCTTGGTGTTGGCTTTAGTCTTGTTCTGTTCGATTTACATGAGTATTCTCCTCACTCTTCCCTATTCGTTAGTTTACTACAGTTTGACTAATTCTTCTACGTGTCCCCATGTTTTTCCAACTTTAATATACAGTGACTACATGTACTGCGTCGATAATATGGCGTTCTTCGATTGTTGTTCAGGGTATTTGTTCTCTGTAACTGATGTAAGCTTTTATTTTTTACTGTTTGTAGTGTCTTAATTCTTGTAGTACTCCAGGAGTTAAATGGCACAGACGGGTAACACGCTACTGACTTTATTAGTGTTGTGAATATATTTGTTTGTTCCGTGTGTTCAGACTTTTATTTATCTTAAATTCTGAAATCCTGTTGCGTAACTTGTCCTTGCCTTCGATGGAGGTTTTATAGCCGGTCATTGTAATTTTCAGTCCTAGCATGTTGCCTTCATTTACGTATAGTTAGATGACCTGTTCAACCTTATGTTTGGCGATTGGTAAAATTATTAATACAAATGTTGAAGTAAGTTTTGTATCGTCCATTTTCTTTCATAGTCAATTACCATATGTCCTTTATTACTTGAGCTGTATGGTGTGTTATCATTGACTCTAATTTCCCAGTACAGTGTAGTACTGGAGTACAGTGTAGTATTAGAGTACAGTGTAGTATTAGAGTACAGTGTAGTATTAGAGTACAGTGTAGTATTAGAGTACAGTGTAGTATTGGAGTACAGTGTAGTATTGAAGTACACTGTAGTGTTAAAGTACACTGTAGTGTTAAAGTACACTGTAGTGTTCGAGTACACTGTAGTGTTCGAGTACAGTGGAGTGTTCGAGTACAGTGGAGTGTTAGAGTACAGTGGAGTGTTAGAGTACACTGTAGTGTTAGAGTACAAATCAATTTAACCGTGTGGGGAGGAGAGAGAGGCGTGTAGTTTGTGGCGGTAGAGTGAGGGTGGCGTCTGTGTATACGTGTGTGTGTATGTGTGTGTGCGCGTGTGTGGGGTCTCTTCCCGGCGGCTGAAACCTGCTGCTGCAGTAGCGGGTCTGCCTGCCGCAGTGTGCACTGTGGCGCTAGTTGGAACGCACCAGCCAGCTTGCTTCCCTCCCCGTCCACACCACCACCATCTTCACCATCACTACAACAATTACCAACACCATCATCTTCACCTTCACCGCCACCATCAACACCACCACACCTTACCGCCACCACCACTACCTCAGTCACTGTTAGTACCGAGGTCCTCCCTACCAGCGCTGTCGGGGTAGGCTAAAAGCGACTAAAGACTTGCACGGCTCGCAGCAACCATCACCCTCTCCCCCACCACCCTAACAGCACAACCAACCTCAGTAGTTGGCCGCCGCCCCCCCACCCCATTAGAGCCACGCCTCACCAACGGCGGCAGCAACAGTCACCAAGACACTGCAAGCAGGTCGAGATTTGTTCCCTCTCTGAGCTGGTGCTGCTGCTCCTGGCTTCGTCCCTATTGATTTTTGCATGATGGCCCCAGGCTAGAGATTAGCACGCTTGTTCCTGCTCGGAGTCATTGCTGGCATGATTCTAACGTGTTCTGATTATTCTCTTGTCCTAATAATTTTCCTAGTGTGACCTGTTTACTAGTAATGACAAACTCCTAATTCAGAGGATCCTATTGTATGTATGTTATGTATGTATGTATTTATGTAAGTATGTATATATGTATGTATATGGCGATCTGTGGTGTAATGGTTAGCATGCTCGCCTCGCAAGCGAGCGGACCAGGGTGAACCTATGGGCAAGTTTCTTTACTCCATTTGCCTCTGTCTATCCAGCAGTAATTGGGGACCTGGATGTTAATCGATTTGCTGGTAATGGTTAGCCAGTGCAGTTGGTGAGTTGTCCGGTTTTCTCGGACTATTCCTTAACACTGGGTCATACTACTCGTTAACTTAGGGTGTGGTTGTTGTGTTGGCGACAGCTTCTATACCTTAAACAAATTCACGCCGAGGTGGCCTTGGGCCGGCCATCCTCGTTACTCGAGGGGCAACCATTATTATATACAGTATGTATGTTTTTATATCCACTAAAAACCTTATTTAGTTTATAATTTGAATATTTAAAGTCTCAAGGGTTTAAGTCATCGGACTCAAGGTTTTGTTCAATATATATATGATGTTTTATTTAATGGAAGACAACGTGTGCGTGTGTGTGTGTCGTGAGTTGTAAACCTGTCATGTAATACCTGCAGTGTTAATAAATAATGTCAGGTGTGAATTTCAAGTCATATATTATAAATTTAGCGTGTAAATGTAACACGTTATATGTGTATATTTATGTATACATGTGAACTGGATATACATGACTGATATGTGAGAGTGATATGAAGAACTCACATGTATGTCATCTGTAAATTGATGAGTTATACAGCTAGTCAACATGGGTAAGGTTATTCTAATGAGCATGTAAGGTTACTCTACAGGTATATAGAACTGAGGATTACACACGTGACGTTTTATACAGATGTTTGCAGGTGTTGTGGATTCAGAAATTGACTGGGGATATATTCTACTGTATGAAAAAGATAAGGAAAATTTTAGTGTGTAAATATGACCAAGTCTGTGAAAGTGATTGAAGATGAATATAATGGAATTAATGGTGATTGATTATGGAGAGAGTGATATTGATTATAATTGATGTTTTGATGGTGAAAATGTTGAGGAGGATATTGGTGTCTTTTTATAGTGTAGATGGTGATGTCAACAGTGAGTGATGGTGAAAAGAGCGATTATTAATGATGAATAATGGTAAGGATGGTGATTATGAAAATGACTGATAGTGATCTTCAGTTATGGTGTCCGTAACTGAAACTGATAGTGTCATTGTACTTAAAGGTGTCACGTATCTCAGAAGACCATTGTTTATTGTACGTGATATTGTCCGTGTCAGTGATCGTCCGTTGGAGGGAAATAAAATACAAATTACTAACAGGTGATATTTCAGTCATTTATAAACTGTATGTAACTGTAACTGTGAGAAATAACTGTTCTAGACTGACAATAATATGTGATAGTGAGTGACGATGATAGTTGATGGTGTTCACTTTTCTCTTATCATCATCATTGTCATCATCACTGTTATTTGCGATTCTTTCCGTCCACTTCATCAATCACTAGTGTTAATATTATCACCATCCTTTCCTTCACCATCACTACCATCCCTCCATCCCCACCACCACCATCTCCCCCATCCCCCCCATCTCTCCCCATCTCTCATCACCACCATCTATCTTCTCATCTCTCCACCATCACCAATACCACCACCACCATCTCCCCCATCCCCCCACCTCTCCCCATCTCTCATCACCGCCATCTCCTCATCTCTCCCCCATCACCATCACCAATACCACCATCACCATCGACGTGAGCCCCATTACTCACCCAATACCAATTTCCTGACAGAAAAATTATCTCCCCATAACTCACTCGGACCATGACAGTGCTATACCGACCTCCAAAGGACCTTAATAAGTCGATCCTCTTCTTTCATCTCCTGAGGATTCTCGACCTTGTATCCTGTAGAAACCCTTCATTCATCCTACTGTAATTATAGGATGCTAGGCTGTCGTCCTACGGGTTTAAAAGGAATCCTTCTTGTCTAATCCTTGAAGGAGATCGACCCGAGGGGTTACTGGAGGAGTTTCATCACGTCTGGTACTGTGGTTCTGGCAGACGGTGACTCAGGCCAGCTGTGTGTGTGTGTGTCTGCGGTTTACCAGTGTAAGACGATCTGTCCGTCTCTATATCGTCATTAGCAAGATAATTAATATGAAGATTAATTGTCATTACTCCTCTCTCTCTCTCTTTCTCTTCATGCATTTTGACTCGCTTGTTCTCCATTAAAGTTAAAAGTCACTCTTACTCGGACATTCACCTGATGACAGATGATAGGTGTAAACAAACTTACCTGGGCTAATTAACATCAATTGTACTTATAATAAAATGGCTCCGCTGAGAATAATAAAACAAAAACACAATTAACATTCACACACAGTTGCAACATGAAACTTTGCAAAAACACTGAGTATTTAACTGGTTGCAATACGAGGAGGGAGTTTCTTCTTGCATAGTGTAGTGACAATACAGGTTAGTGTTGTTGTGTTTGATTCGACAGGTCAAATGAGCTTCCCATCTCAATCGATTTTGTTTAATATTGACAGACTTTCACTTTCTATTATAAAGTATTTATTTCGACAAGTAAATTTACCAACGTCTATAAACCACACACCTACAATCCACAAAACGTTTACCTTAGAGAATATCTACAAATATCTACAAAACACTTCCGGCCTTTCTTAAAATACTTACAGATTCTTACTTCAACTTACCCTTCATTTTACAGCACAGATAATTTTGTTTTTTTACTTAACGCTGAAGATAAGTTTGTGATGCTCTCTGTAGGCAGGAAAGCGTACGTCCCTGTGTGTGTTCTTGTAACCCGTGTATGCATCACCTCAGCGACCGGCCGTGCGTCGTGGAAAAAGGTTGTCAACGCGGTAATCTGACGAAATGATAATGGATTTTAACTAAATTTTGTCTGTAAGATCTCAGAAAAGTTCAATAATCAGTAATTTGAGTAATAATTCAACTATACGTCTTTCTAACTTCTTCTCCTCCGCGGTTATCGGTCCTATGATTCCTTTCTTGTATAGTCTAATCTCTCTCTCACATTCTTATCCATCTTGTTGTTTTCCTCTGTTTTTCCTTTGTCCTCTTTTGGCATTTCCATACCTCCTCTTCACTGCATTGTCTTCTTCCTTCCGCATGGTTAGATGAAGGAGGAGAAGACTGTCCGAATTATGGCTTGGCGTGGTGGATGACCTGACCACCTTTTTCTGCCAAACATTATTGTCATCTGTCAGATCTTTAGTGAAATAGACGATAGATTAAGGCTTTAGTACTGTGGTGCTGTGTGTCTTCTTCAGTGGTGATAAGATTAACTATGGTCAATTAAATGGCTTGCCTGACCCCCCCCTTCTCTCTCTCTCTCTCTCTCTCTCTCTCTCTCTCTCTCTCGTGGAAACTAATAGCTCAACATGGACTCCACATGTAAGGAATGTTTGTGAAGCTATTTTGTGAGGTTCTGTATTTATGGAGGGGGGAAGGGGGTGGGGGAATGGAGGGGAGGTGGGGGAGGGGAGGGGGATGGTGGGAAGGGGGACTGTTGTTGGCTACTGATCTTGTATTGATTAGTATTGTGTTGACCTCTGCCTGGTGACCACTGCCTGGTGACCACTACCTGGTGACCTCTGCTAGGCGATCTTTGCCTCTTGACCTCTTCCACGTGACAGTACTGGTGGATTCTTGTTGATTCTATATCTATATGTCTCTTTGTTAGTCTGTTAATTTGTGTGTGTTTGGTCTGTCTCTCTGGTCTGTGTTTGTCTGCTTGTATTCTGTACACACACACACACACACACACGTCTCTCTCTTCTCTCCACGAAATAAGAGAACTACGAGACCCTCACCCTCAGCACCCGTCTGACTACCCATGTTTAATATGCTGGTCAGGAAGACGATCGCCCTTTCTTTGATGGAGTCTACGAGTTCTCAATGACTTTACGAGGGAAGCTTATGATGTCAGGCCAGGGATTTATAGTTGGCATGACACTGTTTTTTGGAGCCTGTGTGTGTTTGTGTGTGTGGGTAGGTGGATGGGGTGGCTCTACAACCAGTTTGAATCACCTGAAGATTAGACAACTCCAGCTTATTTCACTTGATTATTAAATATCCAAATGCTACATAACATAACCCAACAAAACACAACCTAACCTAATATAACGTAATCTAAACATAACTCTAACCTAACGCTAGCCTAAATTAACCCAGCCCAATCTAACCTAACTTAACTTAGAGCTAACCCGATCTAGCTCCTCAGATAAAATTAGTCTGTTTGGTCATCAGGTGGAATAAAATAATGTATCTAATCATCAAGTGACCTCTCTACTAAATCCAGGTTCATCATCTCTCTCTCTCTCTCTCTCTCTCTCTCTCTCTCTCTCTCTCTTTCTCTCTCTCTCAGTAAAGGAAGGTAGAGCGAGGTGGCAAGTGGCGTTAGAGTATACAATCACGTCTCTATAGTCTCACTATATCATGTTACCGATTATTTACTCTGGCGGGATAGCTGTGAGTGGCCCAGTCAGTATCGCCTTTGATACATAAGTGGATAAGTAAGTTTACCCAGAACGTTATACTCAAGGACGGAAAGTGGTATGGTGTGTGTGTGTGTGTGTGTGTGTGTCAGGAATGATCTAACACAAAGAAGATACACAATGCAATAACAATCCCCTATGAATATAAAATAAATGAATAATTAGATGGATATAAATAACTACTGTAACACGAATACAAAATAGTACATAAATTGACGTAAGTTAAAGGGATTTATGTATCGTGGATCGAAAATATAAATAGGTGATTGCTTTCCTCTCTCTCTCTCTCTCTCTCTCTCTCTCTGTATAATAGAATATGGTGGTGTACAAGGCAAGGCTCTTATGCTCTTCCATTACTCCTGTCTTATGATAGAGGCTCTGGAGGGATGGAAGGGGGGAGGGAAGGGAAGGAGGGGGAGGGAGGTAGGGAATGGGAGGGTGGAAGGGAGGAAAGGAAGGGATGAAGGGAGGGAAGGTGAGTGAGTGTCTATCGTGATCATAACATATTTCGTTGTTTGTTTGTTTGTTTGTTTGTTTACTCTTATACTGTACAAATTCCCTCCGTACCCCCTCACCCCCTTAGCCCCACCCCCACCCCCCTACACATAAACTATTTATATAAAGAACTAATGAATAAAAGTTTTATTCACAAACAATGAGACCAATGAACAAACACCACGCTACCTTCTGCCTGTATAGACTTTTCATGTTCATTAGATCAGTGTTTAGCTGTTCATTTTCTTATTATTACTGAAAAGTTGGAATGTTTTCAAGTATGAGAAAATCTATGTGTGTGTGGGGTGGGTGTGTGTAGGTGGATGGGGGTGTGTGTGTATGTGAGCACGCTCGCCTCGTAAGCGAGCGGACCCGGATTCGATCCCCAGGCAGGGTGAAACTTTGGGCAAGTTTCAATAATCCTTTGCCTCTGTCTACCCAGCACTAATTGGGGACCTGGATGTTAATCGATTTACGGATCGTGTTTCGGGGTAATGGTTAGCCAGTGCAGTTGGCGAGCTTTCCGGTCTTCTTAGACTATTCCTTGACACTGGGTCATGCAACTCGTTAACCCAGGGTGTGGTTGTTGTGTTGGCGACAGCTTCTACAACTTCAACAAATTCACGCCTAGGTGGCCCTTGAGCCGGCCATCCTCGTTACACGAGGGGCAACCCTTGTATGCGTGTGTATGTCCTTGCATTCATTTATACATTAACATGCAAGCAAGTATTTACGTCTAATTCATATACGATTACCCAACTAACCTCTGCCTTTTTCCCTCCCAACAGTCAGGTATGTGGAAGTGTGAGTCGCAGGCCACACGCACACACACACACACACACACACAGACGCACGCACACATACTCATACACTCACACGCACACACACACACACCCACACAGAGGACCAGCCGCCGCATGAAGACCTCCGCAGTCGCATCGACCCGCCCTTGAGGGACCGAATTACGTAGGTCAAAACGAGAAACTGGGGCAGTCCTCCTCCCCCTCCTGTTCCTCTTACTGGCTCCTCGTCCTTCTACTGTCGCAGCCTGGGACACTGTTCATGACCTGGCCTACAGCATCCTGTCAGTCTGACTGTTCGTGTAGAGACATGGAAGCACTTTAGTAAATCTCAGTTATTGTTTACAACTCTCCATGGTAGGCTGGGGCGTGGCAAACTATTGCAGTGATGTGAACAGTTGTGCAGGATACAGTCGCCATAGTTACATTGAGCATTAAGTGTGAAGTAGAAGAGTGTAAACGTGAAAAAGACATTTAACTGCTGAATAAATTTGTTCAGTTAGACCAATTAATCGTTTCTTTCGGTTATAAATTGTACAACTTTGTGTCAATATAAAAAGTTCTGCCAAGAATGATAAATTGGTGATCATATGTTGCCAGTCACACGGTCCTTTTAAATACATAATGACTCGTGTGTATATCTGATGACAACAACGCATACCACTCGACTACCAGTACATGTATTGTGAACCATCAACTAATGTCAGTGTGAACCATCAACCAACATCAGTGTGAACCATCAACCAACATCAGTGTGAACCCTCAACCAACATCAGTGTGAACCATCAACCAACATCAGTGTGAACCCTCAACCAACGTCAGGGTGAACCATCAACCAACATCAGTGTGAACCATCAACCAACGTCAGGGTGAACCATCAACCTGCGTGGTGAGCGAGCGAGGCAGAGAGAGAACCCACCGTCTATGTCGGTAGTGTCGGGCTGGGGGCGGTGTGAGTGAGGAAAGGAGAGTCGAGGTGGAAGGTGGTGGTGCTGTGTGTGAGAGAGAGAGGGAGGGAGCGACTCAGCTCTTGCAAAGGGGAAGGTGCACACACACACACCGTCTACCAGAGCAACACTACAGTCTCTCATACTCACAGGACCCAACTCATCACGCTGTGTCTTTACGGAGTGATGTGTGGTGGTGGCTTCCAATCAGCTGTGAAAAGTATAATTATTGAAAAAGGGAACAGAAATAACACGTAGCTGAGAATATACAATGAGAAGACACTATTAATGGAATAATTATTGTGTTACGTGATAGAAAAAAAAGATAACGAGATATATTAATATTTATATCAGTGATGGAATATAACGATTTAAAAAAGTAATCGTCTAATGTTGCGTGTTAGTGAAACAATAGCCGTATTGTGACGTCATTACAAAGTCTATCAACCACCGTGAGAAGATGTACCCGTTGGATAATGGATAAAGTCAGCTATTAAACTTTGACAACAGGTATAAGATGTTCGTCAGAAACTTGTTTACATCCTGCAACCTGAAAGATGAATAGCATACGAGTGTCATAATCCTGAACACCAAGATTAAACACAACAACATTCTGAGTGTTGTTACATGGTTCACACACATACACATATCTTATTAAAATGCTCAAGTAATGTGCCAGTTTCTCTAAGTGTTCAATCAGTGAGTGTTTCTCTTAATGAAAGGGAGAGAATAAATTAACTTTTCCTTTTTTACTGTTGATGTTCAGAAGAAAAGTGGTTTAAGTGTTGTTATGGATGAAACGTGACTATTTTGACGCATTTATGAGACGGCACCAGGACTCTGATAGAACGCATCCACCAAGACATCAAAATACCCCCAAAGTCTGACACGTCCAATCAAGACGTCACAACCGCTCTAATCTGATACATCCAATCCACACCCCACTGAAGTAACGAACGACAAGGACGACTCGGGAGCCTTCTTACCTCGCCCTCCAAGATGCACCTATTCCTCAAGACGCTGTACATGTTGACGGTGATGGTAATGACGGGGATGATGATGGTCTTAGTTCTACTGTGTACACCTGACTTCCACACGAGACTCTCCAATGGCTTCTACCGTCAGAGCGACCTCACCTACAGCCAATTCGTCATGCAAAGGTTAGAGGGTATGTGATGTGTAGTGAGGGGGTTGTGATTGTGTGGTGAAGAGGTGAGTGTGTGGTGAGGGGAAGTGTGTGTGTGTGTGTGTGTGTAGTGAGAGACTTATTATGTTGGGTGAGGAGATGTGTGTATGATTAGGCCGTAATCTGTGTAATGAGAGAATGTCGATGGGATGAGAAATGAATACTTACTGTATGTATGGTAGGGTAACCTTTCCCATATCCACACTTGTCATCGTATTCTGATATCTTATGTAATACTATCATCCTCATCATCATCATTAGATTCATCCACTCATAACATTGATAGGAATAAACCACTTCCTTTTGCCACGGTAATTTTGGTGGTAACTCCTTCTTTAAGATCCGTCATTAGGCGAGAGTGAGAGATAGCTAGAGTACGGGTGTATGCGTGAGAGAGAGAGAGAGAGAGAGAGAGAGAGAGAGAGAGAGAGAGGCATGAAGGGTGAGATAAAGAGATAGAGAGAATGATAGGTAGTGAGAGAGTTGGCAGTGTTGTTTGCATACACACACTCACTTTTCTACCGAGACGATCTTACGGTCTGACAAATTGGGTTCTCCTCTCTCTCTCTCTCTCTCTCTCTCTCTCTCTCTCTCTCTCTCTCTCTGGACGGGTGTCATACTAGGAAAGCTAAGGAGAGCCCCTTAACATTTGCTAGTTGTGATAATGAGGTAGAAGTGGTGGGAGTGCTGATGGTGGTAGTAGTAGTAGTAGTAGTAGGAGTTGTTGTCGTATTTATGGTGGTAGTTGTTATAGGTAATAAGAAATGGAATAATCTTATTTAACGTATTTCAACTTAACCTAACCTAACCTAATATAACTTAAATAATCCAAACGTAGCTAAGATAAACCTAACCAAACCTAATCTAACCTAACGCAACCAAACTAAATCAAATCTAACCAAGGCATACCTCACCTAACCCACCCACAAATAAAATCAAATTACTACCAAAACTTGCCAGACTCTGAAAAAGGTTGATTCTTTTGTCATTTAAGAAAAAGTCGAGGATCTTGGCCCTACATGACGCCCGGCAGCCATGTAGTGATAATAGACGATAATGACACTGGTTATTAGCACGTAATTTCAGTGTCCTCCTAATGTAGTCTTGTCACGATTCTACCAGTCTCTCTCTCTCTCTCTCTCTCTCTCTCTCTCTCTCTCTCTCTCTCTCTCTCTGTTTTCTTCACATGCTATTTAGATTATGGGATTTAATTTTCTCTCATTAACATTATTATCCAAGCGTTTTTTTCTTTCTGAGTCTGCCCACTACATGTCTGGTTGTCTCATCAAATACTCTCTCTCTCTCTCTCTCTCTCTCTCTCTCTCTCTCTCTAAGAAGTTTATAAATTTCGGTTATTAAATATTTGTGTGTGTGTGTTCCCGGATATGAATTTGTGCGATTTTTTTTTTTGCTCATACAAGCAGTCACACACACACACACACACACACACACACACACACACACACACACACACACACACACACACACTGCAGATGCAGATGGAACATTACACACCACATTGGCCCGTCCATTATCAAGTCACTCTCTCACGTATTTATTCAATTTTATTCAAATTCTTCCTCAAAACAAATAAAAAATAATGAACTAAAAACAGCCATAGATAACGAAATCACAGTACTACATAAAAGACATTGGAAAGTATAAGAAAGTAAAAGTGAATAACTATATTTCTTACCATGAGGCACTTTCCTGACACTTTCACCATATATCTCGCGTCACTTTCCTTTAGGTGGCCATATCTACATATCTTGGGCACTTTCCTTTCCACTTATCTTGCATCACTTTTGTTTTTCACTTCCAACCTACACAAAAGACAGATAAATAGATGGATGGATAGATAGATAGATAGACAGATAGATAGATAGATAGATAGATAGATAGATAGATAGATAGGTGTGTGGGTAGGTTTCCTTCAAGTAAGTCAGAGAAGATACTCTGTAATCGCGTCTGTAACTTTCACATCAGAATTCTTGATATCATTCCCATATATTGCGTGTGTGTGCGCGCGTGTGTGTGTGTGTGTGTGTGTGTGGGAGGGAGGGTGAGGGGGGGAGGTCATTGAAAGGTCACGGTCAAAGGATCAAACAGAAGGACTTTAATACTGAAATAACATCCCTAGAGCATTTGCTGGTAGTTTACATGAGCAATAACTCAATAGCTTCATTTGGCCTCTATTTAGACACCTGTTTTGCCTCACCAGGTAGTAAACGTTGTGTAAAAACATACCATTATGAACTAAACGTAGATAATGTTGTTAAAAAAAGTCCGTATATAGTGGTGATTGATGCTGAGACTTGGTGCTTTTTCTCCCATACATACATACATACATACATACATACATACATACATACATACATACATACATACATACACTGCCTTGAGTCTATATTGAGCTCTCGTTGTTTCATTTTCAGTTTCATGTTTCATTTAAATTTAAAGTTACTGTAGCCTGAAACAAAATCTACCTTAAACCTGTACACTGATGTTTCTCTCTCTCTCTCTCTCTCTCTCTCTCTCTCTCTCTCTCTCTCTCTCTCTCTAATACTCTTTCTCTCTGTTGTCCCAGCCTGGAGAACCCTGGCGTGTATGTGGCCGAGGTGTCCGTGGATGTTGAGGACGTCCCCTACCGGCCGCCCCCCGTCAAGCGAGAGGCTGCCTGGGACTACTCCGGCAACAATACCGGTGAGTCTCGGTCCGCCACTGCAACGGTATATCACAGGTACAGGTACACTCGCACCAAAAATTATCGGTGCAGGGTGAGATCAACGAGTTCCGAAACAATACGTATACACTGTGATATGTCGGGAAGGTTGGTAAGTGTACCCTCATAACCCCCCCCCACTAGGTGTTGCCATATGGCTGACAATCAGGGCTGCCAACATACGGCTGGAACAACTCGCCTTTCCCAATACCTATCGTCACTGGTCTCAAATTGTTCACACTACAGTATGCACCGATACTTTTTGTTGCGAGTGTACAGTATGCCTCTCTCCCCCCTCTCTCCTCTTCCTCTTCTCTCCCCTGCGCCTCCTTTTCCCCCTCTCTCTCTGCCTTGTCCTTTCCCCCTCTCTGCCTTGTCCTCCCCCTTCCATGTATCTCTCTTCCGCCTCTATCTCTTTTCCCCTCTCCCACTCTCCCTCTCTCCACCTACTCCTCTCTCCTTCTCCCTTCCTCTCCCTCCCCCTTTTCCCCTCGCTCCCCTTCCTCCTTCTCCCTCTTTCTCCCCTGTTCTTCTTTCGGTTTTCCCTCTCTATCCCTCTCTCCTCCCCTTCTCTCCCTTTACTTCGTCTGTCCCCTGTCTCTCCCCTTCCCCCTCTCTCTTTCCCCCTCTCTTTTCCTCCCCTTCTCCCCCTCCCCTCGCCCTTTCTCTCCCGTAAATTTGTTTATTAGGGAAAAATCCTAAAAACACCTAATTCTAATTTGTCTCTGTATAAATAGGTCCTAGTTCTAACAGACCCTCGACAGGCCTAACCAAAGCTAACCTAAACTCCTAAGGTCCACGATGATACCTATTAGTGATGGGGGCCCAGAAGGACAAGGGCCCCAAGCATGATGATTAGCTTGGGGCCTATTAGGATTGGGGCAGATTTAAGACTGGGATTGAACAAGACTGGGGTCTGTGGTCCTAATAAGACGAACAGCTGTTAGAACTAAGACTGGGGCCTATTAGAACTGGAGCCTGTTAGTATTGAATCTCATTAGGACCGAACTCCATTAGGCTTAGGATAAATTAGGACTTAAGCTTATAAAGACTGGACCCATTAGGACTACGGTTATCGAGACTGGGGCCCATTCGACCTGTCACCTGAGTAGCCGTGTAAGTGTGTGTCGTGTGTGTCAGCCGGAATCAATGTCGTAGGTGTGGCCTAATTACAGGTGAGTGTGTGGGCCTTTAACCCTTCCTCTCACCCTCTATATCCAGGATCACGAGAGAGAGAGAGAGAGAGAGAGAGAGAGAGAGAGAGAGAGAGAGAGAGAGAGAGAGAGTGTTGTGGTAGACTTTCATTCTCTCAACAAAATACTTTAGAGTTGAGGTGGTATTTTTTGTATGTCTATTTACGGGGGGGGGTCAATCGACTTTGTCATTATGGAAATTCGGGAATGACTGGGACACACGCGAGGAATGCTCTGGGAATGGGAATGGTACTAGATGTCGTGAATATTTTTTATACACACACACAGACACACACATGTAAACGTACGATATTGCTAAGTATAAATATTTACTCATTAAAGAGGACATATTTACTAGTTACTCCTTGGTAGAAAACACCTTCGCGTCCTTAGTAATTACCTCAGGCTGTATATTCTAGTCTTAGTAAAATATTAATACCTAAATATAACTTTTGGTATGTGTGCATTTAGTCAGGTGTGTGTGTGCGTGTGCGTGTGTGTATGTGTCCAATATATGTATGAACAGTATATGTATCAAGTATATGTGTCTAGTATATATGTGTATGTGTCCAATGCATTTGTTACTTCCAATATTTACTCTCTCATCCTTCCAGTACTCCTGGCTTTCATATCTCTTCTTTCTATCCCCTCTCTCTCTCATTCTGTTCACCCATTCAACTGCGTCAGCTGTCTCAATGAAATCATTATTCACAGCCAGATTGTTGAACTGATCAGAGGGCCGCTCTAACATCGATCATTGTTGATTACTCCTCTTCCTCTTTACTCTTTATGCCATGCCCGCAGTTTCCCTTTCACTTTATCCGCTCCGCCCACTCCACTACACAAGGGAGAGAGGCCCATGTCACTTCCACCGCCGTAATACGACCTAAAAGCGACATTCAACATAAAATTGTAAGGTCTATTCTTTTATTTTTTTGTCAGCTGTCAACTCTCTCTCTCTCTCTCTCTCTCTCTCTCTTTACCTGTGTTACAATTTTTTTTACATTTACTCTATATTTATATACTTACAGGCGTGGGTTAGTTTTCATGTCACTTATAGATACGACTCAACCATTGGCCAATTACTATGTGGGTGGGCGAGTTCTAATGACCCGCGCAAGTATAAACGGAATAATCAATGAATGTATAAACACTGAATTCTTTTACATACAGTATAAGAATCACCCCACCAACGACTTTTCAGGGGATTCAATCGTTTGTTTTGCTGAAGATATATTGATTCCCTTTTGTTTTTTGTTTATTGAAGACAACAATAGACATGTGTAACGCTGTAATACTCCGCTAGATGTGTGATAATGATGACTTACTCCGGTGTGAAGGATATATGACCTTCGGGACCTTTCAAAACATTTAATGGATTCATGGCCCATTGGTGTACACTGTCTTTTAAGTCACCTTTCGTGTGGATTAATCAATGATGCGAAACAGACAGACAGAACGTTAGAGACACAGAGAGACAGTGATAGAAAAAAAACACTAGCAAGAGAGACAGACAGATATAGAGAGAGAGTTAGAGACAGGGTGAGAGAGAGAGAGACGCCAGACGTAGGATTCAGCGAGCCTAGTGGTGGTAGTAGTAGTATTTGTGGAGGTTGTAAGGAGGCGATCAATGCTTGGCGTCGGTGCGTCATCCTCACACAACCCCCTCGCTCCCTGGTGGACCAAGGTGGCTGATGGATCACGGTCGATCAAGGTGGCTGGTGGAACATGGTGGCTGATGGATAACTGTGGATTTTGGTGGCTGGTGGAATATGGTGGATTACGGTGCCTAATGGATCATGGTGGCTGGTGGATCACGATGGACCACGCTGCTTAGTGGATCATCGAGGTTCAAGGTGCTTGGAGATCGTAATGAATCAAGGTGGGTCATGGTGGCTGGTGGATCACGGTGAATCATGGTTCTTGGTGGATCTCGGCGGATAATGGTGATTCAAGGTGCTTGGTGGATCATACTGATTCAAGGAGTCATAGTGTTTGGTGGATAATGGTGGTTCAAGGTGTCTGGTGGTTCATGGTAGGTGATAATACTTGGTGTATCATGGTGGATCATAGTATTTGGTGCATCATGGTGGATCATGGTACCTGGTGGATCATGGTGGATCAATGGTAGATCAAAGTGCTGTCGACAACTGATGGTCCGAATTGTCGAAAACCAGAGTCATTCATTTAGTACAAGTCATCTCTTCTCTCTACATCTATCAGACACCAGAGTCAGCCAGGCATGCAACCACTCACTCTATATATCAGTCAGACTTCACAACCCTTACCACTTATCCTGACGAAATGGCAAAGGTCACAAGGGTGTAATTAGTCCTGGTCACCTACGATTCTTCTTGGCTCTTACTCTGTTTTTAATTGGTATGTAATGTATTTTCATATTGATTTGTATGTGTTTTTTTTGTGTTTTGTTCTGATACTAATTGTGATTTTGCTCTGTATGTTACCTCTATGAAATTTTATAGTCATTAATGTTTTAGTGTTCAGGTTTAGTAGTAATTTATTTACGTGTTTATAATTAATGTATCCAATGATGTAATTTATTATATGTCATAACGCAGTTTTTTTTTTAATATCGAAGCTGTGGTGTTTTATTTCTTGTTTTAAGTCTGATGATGACGAAATGTTTTCCAAAATATTGCCAGATTAATATATTGTAGTTTATCCTTTCTAACAACCATTACTCTACATAACCAGGGCAAAATTCTCATTTCAGGTTTCCTCAAAATTCACTTAGACTATGGGCGTCCCCAACATGAACCGTGGGCGGGCAAGGTGGGGTGTATGGGCGTGAGGGTGGGGTTCGCAAGACGGAGAACCTTACCTCGGACAGCTCTCGCCTCTTACCCGGGCAGTGGTAATACCTGGCTCAGGTAGGTGTGTGTTGGAGTGGGTGTGTAGGCAGAGGATGTGGGCCGTGAGTATGTGTGTGTGTGTGTGTGTGTGTGTGTGTGTGTGTGTGTGTGTGTGTGTGTGTGTGTGTGTGTGTGTGTGTGTGTGTGTGTGTGTGTGTGTGTGTGTGTGTGTGTGTGTCACCATCAGTCAAAACACCTTCCCTCTCTCTCCGTCAGGTACCTCATCCAGAGCTCCTCCGGGTTGTTCACTGGGTCAGTCTACATCGATAGGGAACTGGCATCCAAAGGTACTGTTCTTGACTGTTCTTTTAAGTGTACACCTCCTGCTCTCTCTCTCTCTCTCTCTCTCTCTCTCTCTCTCTCTCTCTCTCGTAAAGTCCTTGGTGTGGCAGGGTAACATGAAGGCCTCTTGTCAACGTTTGAGCCGAGAGGTTGATGAATCAATAATGTTAAACCACTTCAACCTAATTTTGTCATGAATATTGATTAACTGGAGATGAAAAAGATGAAGAAAAGATGAAAAATAAGAAAGAAAAGGAATGAAGAAGAAAGATGAAAAATAAGAAAGAAAAGGAATGAAGAAGAAAGATGAAGAATAAGATGAAGGGAAGAAGAAGTAGTTGAAGAAGAAGAATAGGAAAAAATTGACTTTTCATATTTCCTCCTACTCCTCCTTTCGCTTCTTCTTCTTCTTCTTCTTCTTCTTCTTCTTCTTCTTCTTCTTCTTCTTCTTCTTCTTCTTCTTATGTTCCTCTTGATTTGAAATTGTCTTGCTAAAACCTTAGACAACATTACATCATAAATCAATAAAATACAAACTGGAAAGAATTCATTCATCATTTTTCAATATTATAAATATATATGAGACTAATCACCTTGCAACAAAATCATTAACATCAATTATTTTGTAACGTAAGTAAATCTTGATCAATAAGTACAAATAAATAACATAAGAACATGTAAATAACAGAAAATGGATATAAAAAAGGTATGTAATTAGTGTTTACGTTGATAATTAAGTAGATAATTACTTCCTAGGTAATTAATCCATTTATTAATTAGATAGAAGAAGACTTTATTTTAGTCTACCTTCAACACTGCCTATACCGTGTACAGGTAGGGATTAATTAAGGTTCACTTCATTACAGGCTTCTATGGTGAAAACGAGATACCTGAGTGTGGCTGTACCATCGCTGTCAAGACTCATGGCTACTGTTTGGGAGGCTTACCTGCAGAGAGGTGAGGAGGGAGCATAGATGAGAGAGAAGAATGGGTGAGGGGGGAGAAAATTAGGTGAGGGGTAGGTCAGGGGAGCAGTAGGAGAAGGGCAGAAAAGAGGAAAAATAAGTCAGGGAGTAGATCAGGGGAGAGGTAGGTCAAGTGAGGAGAGGTAGGTCAGGGGAGGGGTAGGTCAGGGGAAGGATAGGTCGGGGGATGAGGAAAGAGAATGTTTGAGAAGCAAGAAAAGTGAAGAGGAAGAAGAAAAATAGGTTAGGTAAGAGAGAGAGAGAGAGAGGTGTAATTAAAGGGTAGGTAGGTCAGGTGTCGGCCTCAAGTTTATTTTAAACTGAGGTAAAAGAATTACTGGAGTTTTACAAGATCTTATTAAAGACAAGTTCCTTAAAGGTGACGATCCAGTCCTTACGTGGGAGAAAGAGAGAGAGAGACAGTGAGAGAGAGGGAGGGAGAAAGAGAAAGAGAAACAGTGAGAGAGAGGGAGGGAGAAAGAGAAGGAGAGAGAAAGAGAGAGGGGGCGAAAAAGAGAGAGAGAGACACAGGGAGAAAGAGGGAGTGATTTTTTTAAAACAATAGGACAGCTCACTAACACAGTACCTTCTCCACAGGGATCAAAGGACGAAGGAGATGGACAAGTTCTTCGGTCGTGGTCTCCTGTTACTGAGAAATCCCTTCGACACTCTCATCGCCTACCGCAACTACCTGTCAGCGGGTCACCTGGGCGTGGCCGGTCCTGCCGCCTTCAAAGGAGCAGGTAGGTTGGCAGATGTATGATGCTACTGGCGAAACATCACTAACTGGACTAGAACTTACCATTGGATATTTGTATTATTTATTATTGATATTACTATTAACTTCTGCTTATTATTTACATATTATTAACATTATTTTTGTATTAAGGTAGATTTAGTTGGGGTTGGTTGAACTGTCCCGACTGAGTAACATAAAAAAAGTGAATATGTTGGTATTGATTTTTCAACATCGTCTTGCGGAAATAATTGGACTGTTTAAAATTTACTTGATGTTTATTTCACCTTATTTCTTGCCAGTAGTGTTTAAGTATTTAATGTCAATGTTTATTACTTCCATGTTAGGATATATAAGAACTTTCCATAGTGAACAATTAATTACAATATATTATACTTCAGTCCATAACGTGACCCTAAATAGCAGAGCCTAAAATAATCTTTCTTAACCTAACGTCATCAAACCTAATCTAATATATCAAACAAATTCTACTTGGCTTTAATATTATATAACCTATTTTAACCAAATCTAACCTAATCTAACCAAGTCTGACCTAACCCTATTTAACATAACTTGGCTTTATTAGTTAGTATCTTCCGTTGTAAGAGCCCCTGATCTTAAAAGCCTAAATCGCCATCCAATCACAAGCTGACACACGGACGCTCACTAATTCCCAGTCACATAAAATTGAATGAATATAACGAATATATCTTTTCCATAACCCGGGTTTAATTTTTTCTTGGATCAACAGACTGGTCGAGGTTTGTCCATGGACAGATGGAGGTATGGCGAGCCTATGCCTTAGACTGGATCACTCTAGGCAGGTGAGTGTCACTAATTGCCTTAACCTGTATGTCTGTTTAGTTGATCTCCAGATACTGATGTGCCAATAGCTATGTTGTTTGGATAGTGCCAAGTTAATAACATCCAATGGTCATTACATCTTTGCCTCATCAACTGTTAAGAGGCACTAACAGGTACACTCATATTTCATCACTAATCTCCCGTTATAAGATGCAGTTTCTAGTTGTAATTGATCTCATTAAGGGTCATAGAGATAATTATGGGTCATTAAAATGGTCTCAACTATGACGTGTTTGTTGTCTTCCACAGGAGCGTGTTGGTGGTGCACTATGAATATCTCCTGGAGGATCCTCAGAGGGAGCTCCTACGGATCCTACAGTTTCTCCGTCTGCGTGTGGAGAAGCAACGCCTCCAATGTGTTATGGCCAACTTAGACGGTGCCTTCAGGAGAGTCACCCCCGACAAGATCTCCTACAGGATTAGGTGAGGGCACGTGGTCATAATGGAAGTATTATCAGGATGGATACATTGTCAGGATGGGAACGTTGTCAGGATGGGAACATTGTCAGGATGGGAACATTGTCAGGATGGGCACATTATCAGGAAGGAAACACTCAGGATGGGCGCATTATCAGGATGGGAACACTAGACGAAAATGAGCTAATTTCTCAGCGTTCCTGTTAGGTTAAGATAGGTTAGGTTAGGTTTGATTAAGAGTGATAAAGACTGAGCCCTAGTCATAATGCTTAGGTTAGATTAAAGTTAAGTTCTACTAAGTCGGGGGGGGGGTGTTATTGATATTGAGTCTCACTTAGTCAATCATCGACTGAATTAACTAATCTTGTGTTGTGTGTGACCAGTGACCCGTACACCAAGGAGCTACACGAGGTAGTGGAGGAAGGCATGAGAGACGTCGATTTAGCCCTGGTGAAACATGGGTGGCCAGGCCTCCCCGTCCACCTCTACAGCTACCACTACGAACGGAACACCACTACTACACCTACCAAGGACACCAGAGATACGAACAGCGTCTTCAAGGGCCCCATCAACGCCATAATTAGTACCAACAATGTCATTATGGGTACCAGCAGCGTCGCCCAGGGCAGTGCCAATAATGTTGCAAAGTTCATCAAAAACGATATTGTTAGGGAAACGAAACTCCCTATCAAGAGTCTCAATAGTATCGTTCAGGACAACAGCATCATCATCGAGGATACGAGGACCACCGTCAAGGCCCCGTTGGACACTAGGAACAAAAAGGGTAAAGTTGGAAGAAACGTTTACCAGAAGAAAATTGATAAAAGGTGGAAGGCGAAGGGAAAGAAAGAACGAAAAATAAACGGAAATAAGATTAAATTTGAGGACCAAAATGGTGTGAAAGTGCTGAAATTATCTCCCTGGATGAAGTCAAGATGAGGAAGCGGTAGTGTCTCTCAGATGGTGTGATCCAGTCGTGACAGACATGGGACGAGGGATTTAGACGTCAACGATAGTATGTTGACCTTTGCCTCCGTTTGCTTGAAGGTCTGGTCAGAAGCGGATGATTGTGTTATAACTTGAATGACATGAACGAAAGTGATAATGTTTTGAGAGTTTATGTGTCACACCGCTACTAAACCTTTGGAGGAGGATGATTTAACAGGATAGTATTTCATTACTTTCAGAATGATAGTTTAACTTCTCAAGGATGGTGTTTAACCCTTCAAGGATGACGTTTTAACAAAGAAATGGTTCAACACCTTCATGAACATTATTTGATTACTCAAAGACGATGATGAAGAAGTTACTTGAAGATGAGATCATATATCAATCGTCCTCAAAGGGTTATTATTCTTATTATTATTATTAGTATTGGTATTTAAGTAGCTCATCTATGAGGGTCTTTTACCTGGGATGAGAAGAGGAGAAACGACAGCCCCTCGTAACAGACTGGGACGTGATGTGTTGTGATCCACGAGTCTTACCCCCGTTTCAATACAAGTATCAGTGTCTTGGATGGAGTTAAAAGAAAATGAAGAAAAACGACTTTATCTTTATAGCTTTATGTGTTATGAAGTTAAAGTCTAAAGGCTGTGAGTGTTACGAGTACTGTCATGTTAAGAACTGTTATATTTTTTTTTCCTATTCACCTCCGTTTGTATATAAGTTTTGTCTTTAGAAATACCTTGATGCTTTTAGTCTGAGGTGACAGCTTATACCAGCTTAGAATGTCACAGTGATTTAAGATCTGTGATTCTTAATTGAATTTATATCTTGCCTGATGAGTGTTGAGAGTTTAATTCTCTTTTGAATCTCGATTACGGAAACTCGGTTTAGTAAACCTCTGATATAGGTGTGACGTGAAGGTGATGGCGGCGCTCACTCACTCACTCACACACTCACTCACCACCTGCTCAACACGTCTCCTGAGTTTGTAAGCTTCGCGGTACACGTTTACCTGTATAGGGTAGTTCGTCAAGCTACTGTAATATTGCGCCTGGCTTCCCAAAGGTTCGTACGATGAATTTTCCTTATAACTGACGTAAGAACACCCTTAACTGAGAAACTTCAATTACATCACAAAAAATATCATCCAAAATTGCGTGGTCACTTTGTACTAGTTAGGCGATATAATTAACACAGTCTTTGTGGTTTATGATTCCCAGAGGATCGTAGGATGACGTTTCCCCTAACTGGAGATCTTAGAATATGTATAACTAGTTCACTGAAATTATGCCTTAAAGTTAGACTCCAAAATGGCGTCTGAATTATGATGAAACTCTATCGTCATTACTTTCGTTCTCTTAAACCCCAATTAGGCAAAAAAAAAGTCTTCAGAATGTTTTTGAATACGCAGTGAATGTTGACTTTCATAATAATACATTCAAGTTTCACCTCTGTTTCTGTCATTACACATCACCAGTTATTATAGACAAGGAACATACGAACCTTCGACAATAATGAGTCATCGTTTTTTTTTATATACAGGATTCTATAATAGCATTAGGTAAGGCAGGTTCCACCAGGTATACAATCAAAAGAGAGTATAAACAAGACTGGCCATTACAGCTTGTTGTTGCTTCACGTTAGTACATATCACAGTCAATTCCTCTTGTTGGTTTTAATTTGTAGGTGTTTCAGCTACCAGGCTTACTGAGCACAGTCCACCAGGTTCAGGTCTTAGTTTTAGGTGCTTCAATTTGCCAGGGTTATTAAGCACTGTTTACTAGGTCTTAGTTTTAGTTGCTTCAACTTGCCATTAAGCACCGTTCAATAGGTCTTAGTTTTATGTGCTTCAACATGCCATTAAGCACCGTTCAATAGGTCTTAGTTTTAGGTGCTTCAACATGCCATTAAGCACCGTTCAATAGGTCTTAGTTTTAGGTGCTTCAATTTGTCAGGGTAATTAAGCGCCGTTCATTCGATCTCAATTTGTACAAGACACAAATCTTTTTAATAAACATAATATGATAAGGTCCTCTTAACATACGCTTAATACAAGCAGCAGGTACAAGTCCTCAGGTGTTTAGTTAAGGCCCCAAAATTCCCTCGACACTTGTTAACACCTGTCATCTACTTGTGAATCATGATACCTGATTTATTTATTTATTTATTCAAGCAAAACAACACGAAAGAAAACTACAATAAAACAAAATCTAAGTGTGAATAGTTGTTAAACCTACTGTCCTTCCCTTAGTTAAATGACCCACAAGTAGATGGTGGTAAATATTGCTAAACCTGTCCAGAGAATTTTGACCAAAACTTTTACACATCTGACAAGTTTGTTTATGTTTATGTTCTGTGGTGGATGACATGTTTGTTTTTGTCTCTGGATTATCACCAGTAACAGAGGTCGAATCCTGGACGAACTGGACATATCAAATTCAATAATATATATATATATATATATATATATATATATATATATATATATATATATATATATATATATATATATATATATATATATATATATATATATATATATATATATATATATATATATATAGGTAGTGTTTAATTCCTTGTACGTTGTTGTTTATTGAAATTCATTAATTAGCGGATCCAGACCTGCTACCAAACCTAATTTAACCTGGTCGGATTTCATTTAATCTAACCAATCATAAGTTTATCCTAACCTAACTTGGGTTAATTTAACCTAACCTTACTTAACCCCTAAACATAACTAACTCCTTGCCTAACCTAACTTAACCAAGCCAAACATCACATAACTTGATTTAATTTAATCTGACCAATCATAAATTTATCCTTACCTATCTTTGGCTAATTCAGCCTAACCTTACCTAACTCCTAACCTAACTTAACCGAATCTTAACCCAAACCAACTTAACCTAACATAGCCCACACCTAACCTTGCTTACCTGTAATATAGACTAACAGAGGACCGGGGTTCATGTGTGTGTGATGTCATAGGTCTGGTCTTAGGTCTGGGTCCGGTTTGGTCTGGCCTTTATATGTCAAACTGTTTTACTGAAGAAAAAACGTTGTATACTTATATTAATTAGTACTAAGGTTTGATATAGGTAAAACATAAACATTCTTAAGGAGGTCAGGTCAGGTCAGAGGTCAGATATTATTAAAACACTATCTTTGAAGTGTGTGTGTTGAATCTGAACCGTTGGACTTGACCTCTCAAATTAAACTCAATGAGTCTTGTTTATGGACTTGTATAATTTGTCTAGTATCTAGATAAGTATAATTTATGTTAAAGAAAGTTGATAATAGACGTGTGTAAGTCCCTCTCCTTCCTTCCCTCCTTCATTCCTTCTTTCCTTCCTTCCTTCTTTCCACCATCATCAAATGTGTTTGTTATTAGAAGGAGGGTTCGGTTCCTTGGTCTGGCTCCCCGTGTGGTTTACTCTAAAGAGCCGGATACGTTACGACTTGTGTACAGTGCCAAAGGTTCTAACATGCACTGAACTAACCTAATCTAGCTTAACCTAACCTGACCTAACGTAATCGAAGATCGTTAGATTAGATTAAGTTACGTTAGATTAGGTTAAGTTACGTTAGATTAGGTCAAATTCGATCCAACTGGTTCGTGTTTGCTAATATTAACATATATATTTCTTATACACTAGTTATACATATCCGACTCTCTTATAGAAACAGTCTGAGAGCCGGACTCAGTTGCTGTGGCCACGAACTTATTGTTAATACTGAGGCTCAGAGCTCTTGTTACCCATTATTGAATATTCTAAATAAACTGTTATCGAAGAAACTGTTTTCATTCTTCATTTTCTTCAGCGGTTCGGTGGATCCTGTGCTCGTCGTCTGTCCTGTGGGTTAGCATCCCACGGCACCATCGCCCAGATTAACCCAACTGTGATTGAATACCTGACATTACAGATGAGAAAGTTAAGGCTGTCGAGTACAGTGCTGGTTCTGGTATATCTCCTTAGATGTCGAAGGATTAAACAGCGCTAGTGAGGTTTCATGAGTGGATTACCAAAGGTGGATCCAGGGAGAGACGGATCATTTGGTGGTTCATCTTTTAACGACCCAGAATATTATTAACCTGCATTATTTACTTTACCGCCATCTAAACTAGAGATGGCCAATCCAAGGGAAGATTGCCAGTGATTTATGTAAAATCCCTCCATTGTTCTTAATCGTGTTGTTTAGGGCCATTTTAAACCCCAGTACTGTTCTCGCTTCCACTGTTTGAGGTGGGAGGTAGACTGTTCCATAGGTCTACCATCATCTAGGTGAAGAAGTATGGACGATAGATAAGAATGGGTATATTACAGTAGTCTAATATATGATAACATCAATCTCTACATGTAATACCTCTATATAAGTATCTGGAAAGTACCCAACCCCCACCTCCTTCTTCCTCACCCCCTACGAGAAAAATTTCCTGGATCAGCTTTTGGGAATGTAAATCCAAGAAAGAATGAGAGAGAACGGCCTCCTCCCCTGGTGAACGTGAGGGTCTACTATTCGACTCCCCAGCAATGACTCGCGTTTGATACATTAACCTGAATAAATAGGTTCTTAATTTTTCGTTTACAAAGGATTTCTTATAAGCGATCCTTTGTGTGAACATATAATCTATTTCATCTATAATCGTAAATAATTACAGGTGATAAAATATGAGACAAGGGCATAATCAAGTCGTGGTATTTGTTTAAGGTAACGAGACAAACAAATACTTTGGTGGTTTGAATTTTTCGAGTCTTGGGTGAGTTGGGTGTTCGAGTGTTGTGTTCCGCCATTCCTCCTCCACCCTCACTCTTTTCACGTCCTCTCCAGCCCTCGTTATAATCACACGTGCCTATTGAGGTGTCATAAGTTGCGTAAAACGTTGTGAGGTGTCATAAAACTGTCACGAGGTGTTATAAAGTGTCATCGTAGACATGAGACCAAAAGAACGAATAGGTGAGTTGGTGGTGGAATGAACAACTTGAAAATAACAACAATATCGCATCTAAGAGACATTTGTATAAATTAACAGACATGAAAAAGCATACTTGTGAATAACTAAAAATTTTGGACATGAAAGTGGATTGGAAATAACAGAATGATAATTATGTGATTAAGATTCGAAAAAAATGGTCGACCACGGAACTTCGTATTTACATTTATATAGGGAGACAAAACAAACTAAAATATTCTATTACGTTTCTGTCACATATTTATATTTTTCAGTGATTTTGGATTTATCGATTTCTCACAGGAACTTATATTTTGAAAGGAGACAATCTTTATATCTGACTCACTCAAGTAGGTTCCGCCAATCACCATGAGTCTCGGGGTCACGTGATACACCTGTGTTTATTTCCGCGTTTTAGTTGGCTTACTTCATTAGTGGCAAAATGCCTTCTCTGTGCGTGGGTGTTCTTTCTAGGCTAAGCAAATTATTCATCGTGTATTTGAAAACGAAGCCTCTGCCATTGACAATTTTAAGTCTCATGGTATTCTGCCAACCTTTGTGAAGTGCTACAGACGTTCGTACACAAAATATAATAGAAAGATTGTGGAAAGATATCAAGAGTTGGGAACTTCGTGCTGAATACAACGATCACAAGACTATCCTCCGCTACTTCCCCTGACAAGTAGCATCACTTTCTCCTCTACAGTAGTATCTGTTAATTAAGGTAAGTTTTGTACACAACGTGGGGGAAGGAGGGAGCTAGGAGGTTACGTCGGGTATTTTTTATTTCTCTGGTTATGATGTTTCGTTTGGTTTGGTTTCATCAGTTTTTTTTTTTTTTTGGCGTGATTTTACACCACAATTTCCCTCTACTTCAAAGCTTTGTCCACTTTGTGCAATCAATATTGTTGGTAATTGGGGTGAAATCTCCATAACGACTCATTTGGCCGGGTGTCTGGGTAACTGTGTGTGGGAGAGTGCTATGGTTGGCTGCGTGGGTGACTGGATGAGTAACCGATTGGTTCTCTTGGTTTATTTGTATATGTGGGTGGGTGACTAGGGTGGATGTGTTGAATGGATAGATGTGTGAATGAGTGGATGTGTGGTTGGGTGACTGGACGGATATGTGGGTATCTAGGGGGATTACTTTTACCACTACGAGCATCAATATGGCCCAGTAAACAATAACTAAAAACAATTCTCCCTTGGTTATTCTTATACAGCCAGGGTCAAAAGTTCGTGTGAAGCAGTGAAATCTGAGTCACGGGAATGAGATCTGAACTTAAATACCCTGGCTGTCGTCTAGTTTTATTTCATTTGGAGTCGATGCTGCTTCACAGGTAATCTTCCGAGACTTAATTTCTCGAAGGACAGTTAAAATGTTATTACTGCGCTTCAACAACGAAAGTTTTTAAAACAAAGTTAGTAATAACGCTATTCCACCAACAATTAAAAATCTTAATAAATAAAATTCTACACTTTAGGTACTGTACAGTCGAGGATATTTCCTAGCAACTAACACACACTGCGTTGTCAATCAATTTGAAGCCTCTTAGGTTACTCGGGGAGACGTGAGGTGCACACGGCAGCCTGGGACCAGAATATTTTAAAGTAACTTGATATGTGTTTACTTATTACAAGGTCGGGCAACGTTGATGCTTTACATGTTTCATCGTTTACATAATTCTCTCAAAGATTAATTGATGTAGTATGTACGACTTTCATTCATCTAATGGAATGAATAATACCTCGCCTGCAGTGGACACTGTAAGGCTGAAACAGTTGGTTACATAGTATAAATCTACCACTTTATTTATCGTCAAGCAAAGTGTAAGATACGTTAGAAAAATTGCGTACAGTATAGTGGTGAGCTTTATGGGGTGTGGTGTGGGTCAAATGTTGTGGTGGTGGTGGAGGCGTAGTGCCTCTGATTCTGTGACAAAGTCAATAGCCTGGCCAGCCTCATTTCTGTCCAATAACCGAATTTACTCTCTGTTTACCAAATATCACTCACAAGACGGGAGAAGCATCATCTCTGATCAGTACTCACATTCATCATTAATATGGTATAGTGTATTGTTGTAGCATACAAAAAACACAAATACTTTGCACTGCACCCTATACACACACACACACACACCATGACGCTACGTCCGAAGGGTCGTGATGGGTTGGTGATCCTGGTAAGCGAGGACTGGTGACAACCGAAGGGGTGAGCATTTTAGTTTAACAGCTTTATTGGTATAGCTTGGAGTACAATTTGCGTATTATAGTAATGGTCACATTGACTGCTAGTCTGTTTAAACTCTGAGGATTCTTATTATACTACACGCCCGCAAAACATGAATAGATAGCTGGTTAGTTATCCCTAAGAAGAAACGTGCTTTTCCCTCTCAATGTTTACACCAGGATCCCTCTCTAAGTCCCGCGCTTGTGAAGACAGTTGTCAATACGTATTTATTCCACTTTCTCCTGGCAAGCTCAATCTTGAATTAGTTTATGTAAATCAACTTTAATAATTCGCCAGACCTTTGTCAACTGAGGGTCATCTTTGGATGTGTAACAATTGGTTTGTTTGTAATTTCTGTCATTGCGTGAGATAGCCACGTCTGGCAACTCAGGGGCATATAAACCCCGGGGGGACGGAGGATCAAGCCTCCCGTGACGTCCTCCAACTTTGTTCCCAGGTATGTAGCATGTGTTCCCCACTAATATAGCCATTCAGTTTGATTTAGTCAATTGTGTGAATATCAGTGTTCATGTTGTAACAGTGGAATTGTCATTCACTCAGTGTGAGAAGTAATATAAAGTAAATGTCGTCTGATGTTGCGAGACGAGAGATGTTGTTTGTGTTTGAATCCATGCTTTCCCGTAACGCTTCCCTCTCCCGTTGTGGGTGGGTGGATTATTTGAACACTCACCGACTGCCCCGTAGTCGGTGGCTACCTATCAGTTAGAGGTAGTGGACGATGTCGTTGATTCGACATGATTAACTTGCTCCAAGTCCGCCTCGTGGGCCTTAGACCCCAAACGCTAGCCATGTGTCGGGCTACCACCAATCACAACAGCGGTCGTCAGTCGTCCAGTGTTATACCCTAGGATATGCCTTGAAGTAAAAGTATCCACGTGGGATTGCAGTTGAGCCCCTGTAAATTTGTTAGTTTCATTATTAGCGTATTGTGTGTTGTGAGTGCATCTCATATGTACTAACAACAGTGTGAAGGTATCAGATGTAAGTTTGTCTGGTAATGTACTGTACTGCCATGTACCACCAGTAAAGTGTGAGAAGTAAAGTATCTGATTGAAGTTGTAACATGAGTAAAGCCACGGAGTTGATCCTGGTAACTATTCATGTAATGTATCACCAGTATTTGTGGGAGAAGTCAGAGTACCCACTTGGAATGGCATGTGAGTAAAGTCAAGGAGTTGTCATATGTCTATACGTAATGTGAGTAAAGCCAAGGAATTGGTCCTGGTCACCGTAATGTAATGTAACACCAGTAAGATTTTGTGTAATAAGAGTACATTTCTTAGAGTACATTAGGGGTATTTTTCACCTCGGTATTCCACCTTTATTTCCGTCCGTGTGACTTGATATCAGAATTACAGTACCCATGTGCCCAAGACCCTCGCCTTGCTACCAAAGAACTGAGGTTATGTAGTAACCATGAACTGAAATATGTAGACAGAACAATTGAAGGAACTAAGACAGAGAAGTATGAGTAAGAGAAGGGGGGCAGCTTAAGAAATCCTCCCCCCCCCTCCCCCCTTACATTGGTTCGCAGTGATGGGATGTAATTTACAGCGTATCAGGTCAGGAGGAGTAAATGTGATGTGTGGGTATT